CGCCTCTTGTAAATACTGTCTTTGCTGTATGTGGTCTAACTGATGAACATCCGCGAGATGGTTGGCTAATCTGACAAGGTACTTCGCCCCGCACCATGAAATCGGACAGTTTCTGCAAACTCTCTGGTAAACCATGTTCAAAAAACTGTTGACAGTTCTATGGCTGAACACAAATGACTACTATTTCGCAAATATTCAGGTTATACAGAGTATTAGAAAGGCCAAACACAGGCCCGAAAGGCCATAACCAGGCCAGAAAGGCCAAAACCAGGCCAAAAGAGACAAAAGGAGACAAACGGGCCATTTTCAGTCATGTGCCTTTTTTCTCGTACACACGCGTGGGTGTCGCGCGTCGCTAGTCACGCAACAGCTTTCAATATTGGAATCATCATCTTTATTAAGTGTAATCACAAATAACAGTGCCTAATTAAAAAGTTTTGTTCTTCCTTTAGTAATTGGTATTTCAAATTTCAGATTTGCTATTTATTGCACAAGTTTACAGTTATTGGTATTATGATCAAGTCATCAATAGTTTGGTTGTTTACAGTTTTTATTGAAATGCAACAATACAAAGGTCCAGGAAATAAAAAATTCTGTAACATTCATAGTAGGTCTAGTCTTGATCTTTTGGAATGGGCTGCTTTTGGTACAATCGATTTAGTAAGAATTTTCGCTTATCGATAGCAAGTTCTGTCGATTCCAACCAGTCAAATCCTTCTGTGTCTTTAAGCTCTTTTTGAGTTTCCGTCACTTTTTTGAAGGTGGGATCCTTTTTCATTGCACGCATCCACTGTAGATTCTCTAAGAGTACTTTTCTCAGCTCTTTTCTGTAAACAGGAAGAAGAGCGTTCTCGGCTTTCACGCGGGCCACATTTTCTGAATCTCCGTTCCCTTCGTACTCACTGATCAATGCGTTGAGCTGAGTCTCATGGCGTTTCTCGGCTTCATCAAATATGCGTGAGCAAGGCTCTAAGCTTTCTGTTTCTTCTTGGGAAGACTCCGTTCCTTGGCTAGAGACTTCGCTTTCTTCGCTGTCTTCATAATTTCCAGCACCTTTTTGAATAAGGTTGTAATGGAGGTCACTGTTCCACATCTTTTTGGTTTGAACCGCACGCGTTCTGATAGGAAACCAAACATCACAAAGTAACGCGTCTCTTTTATAGAAAATGGGTGAAGGCGGGGTTACTAAGCTAAATAATAATCGAACTTACATCGACCAGTTATTTAGAAGATCAGACGGGCCAAAGCAAGGCTAAAAAGGCCAAACGAAGGTAAAAGGGCCAAACGAATATCAAGACTAGACTGGCTATGAATTACAAAATTTTTTATTCCCTGGACCTTTGTATTGTTGCATTTCAATAAAAACTGTAAACAACCAAACTATTGATGACTTGATCATAATACCAATAACAGTAAACTTGTGCAATAAATAGCAAATCTGAAATTTGAAATACCAATTACTAAAGGAAGAACAAAACTTTTTAATTAGGCACTGTTATTTGTGATTACACTTAATAAAGATGATGATTCCAATATTGAAAGCTGTTGCGTGACTAGCGACGCGCGACACCCACGCGTGTGTACGAGAAAAAAGGCACATGACTGAAAATGGCCCGTTTGTCTCCTTTTGTCTCTTTTGGCCTGGTTTTGGCCTTTCTGGCCTGGTTATGGCCTTTCGGGCCTGTGTTTGGCCTTTCTAATACTCTGTATAACCTGAATATTTGCGAAATAGTAGTCATTTGTGTTCAGCCATAGAACTGTCAACAGTTTTTTGAACATGGTTTACAAGAGAGTTTGCAGAAACTGTCCGATTTCATGGTGCGGGGCGAAGTACCTTGTCAGATTAGCCAACCATCTCGCGGATGTTCATCAGTTAGACCACATACAGCGAAGACAGTATTTACAAGAGGCGAAACTGCAGCCTAAAGTTAAAGTCGTCGTTTACGAAAGTGAAGCGGATAATTCCGCAAAAAATCACTCAACTAGTACTCGCAGTCCAGTACAGACACAAGAAACGGTGTACGAACTGTCAAGATCACGAAGAAATGAAGCCTCTTTTAAAGCAAAAGCTAAAAGAACAACTACAAAGAACAAGACAAACGGAAAGAAACAAAGAAAGTCGAACTCTCGGCTTAGAGGTTATAGGAAAATTGTGTAGACACGGATGGATTATTCATTATTCCTCGTAATAGAACGGAGAAAACGAATTTGTAATAGCCAGTCAAAGGATTAATTTTCATTCCTTTTCCTTTCAAATCGCTGTGTATTTTGACTCTTTTTGTTATTGGTTTTAATAAAGTTTTTTAAAAACTTTATTGCTCGCAATTGTAAGTCGCGTGTTTCAATTGATCCTTGTTAAGTTATTTTATGTTTTTATTGTTCTTATGATAATAAGTCACTTGAAGGTTCTCTCTTGGGGCTTTTCCTGCAGAGCTGTACTAATTTGTATGCAACGGTGGGCTTGCGAACTCGCATAATTAACTGACTAACGATGTCCAAAAGTGGCCGATGGTGGACAACAACCCATCGCTCTAATCACTTCGCAATGTTCGAGTCTTAAATGATTTTACTGCCTACATCATCGCCTTATAAAACTGCTCTCAGATTTGATATATTAAAGTGGGATAACTAACAGCATATAATTGTCCCCATTCTTCTTGCGTCAGTTCCAGATCCTCTGCAAGTTTCAAGAACACCAAGTGTCTGCCCAAATTAACTTTCAGAAATACTTCAGAATGGAGTTCTTTCAGCTTGGAAATTGTTGACCCTGGGAGGTCGCAAAATGTTTTCTTGAGAGACGTTATTTCTTTCGAGGGGGTAACTATGGCTCTCGCGATCATACGATATAATGATTAAACTTTATTCTTATGAAAGACTGAATAATACCCATTTTCGTTTTGGATGATAATAATAAGTAATAATAATAACCTTCATTTATATCATCTTAAAAAGATAAAAAATAAATAATGATGTCATAGACTATAGAAAATAGCTGATCATGTCAAAAAAACCCTATCTAATTTAAGCTGATGATGTCATCTCACCACTTACTATATCAAATGATTATTTTGATGATGATCTTATCGTTTCTTGATGACGTCAACTCCCTAGATTGTTATACAGACTACCTTTCTATTTTTAGATGATGATCTCATCAGTTTAATCCCCTGAGCTATTGTGACGTCACTCCACCACCTCCACCACTGCGCAGAACCCCTCGTCTATTACTACTCTTTCGTATACCTTTTATTGGAAAATGGTACCTATTTTACATACCTAGTTTAAAACTTTGCATCCCTTCTAAGTGAAATGTACTGGTTTTTTTTTAAACATGAATACATCACTAAACCACCAAATTTTGTTGAATTTTTCGCAGCCAGAACATGCGTCTGTTAGCCCTCAATCGAGGTCCCTTTACTGGCTTAAGTGACAGAGATCCCTATCCTTTTACACACTTCAACTAGTGAAATCGATTTTGTTTTTTATACCTGTAACCTGAAAAAGGTACCCCTTTCGGGAAGAGTCTCCCCCGTATAGGCCGATCGGAGCCGATAGCCCAGAAGCATTTAACTGGAAAACCCTCTGGGGAGTAACAGTTCCAGTTCAGTACTGTTATCATTGACATACAGAGTAAAGAGACGTCGTAGTTTTATTTATTTTATTTGCCACACAATAATTACAAAAAATATAGGAAAAGAAGAAAAAAAGAAGTGGCGAGGAGACCTAACAGAAACTATAGGAGCTTATGAGACTTTAGGCCTCCTCGAACTATATGAGCTAGAGCTGTTTCACATCAATTGAAGAAAAGAAGGCGAAAAGTCGAAGATGGAAAGACACTATGAACTGTTTTCATACTTACTCAATAATTTAATCTTCCGTTTTTTCTTAAAAGAGGAGAGGGATTGAGAGTTGATGACCTTGTTGTCAAGTGAATTGAAAAACTTAGGCCCTTGAAAAAAGGGCGTGAACTTCTTCGTGTTTGTACGACAATACGGTAGACGGTAGACCTGGGAATTTCTTGTATTGTAAGAGTGGAATTGATTGCTTTGAGAGAAATTGTTATTAAACTTTGGAGGTAAGAATGAATTTTTGCAAGAATACATAAATTGGCCCAGTTGAAGCAAATGGATATCATTAAATTTTAGTACACCGAGGTCCTTAAAGATGGGTTCAGTATGAGCATTGATATGTGATTTATTAATAATTCTAATAATGCGCTTTTGCAGGATAACAAGGTGGCGGAGATTGGTTTTATAGGTCGACGCCCAAACGATATTGCAGTAGTAAAAATAAGGATAAATTAAGGAATAGTAGAGCATACGTAAAGACGATTTAGGAAGAAAGAAGCTGCATCTAGATATTATACCGATTGACTTCGCAACTTTACTTGCAACGTGTGATATTTCCGACTTACAATTTAGGTTTTCATCCAAAATTACGCCTAGAAAATTTATCTCCTTTACTTCACAAACGACACAAACGACAAAAGAGTTTGGGAATAACAAAGGGGCTTTATTGCCTAGACAAACATGAGCGTTGTATATCGCTGGGAACGGGGGTAAAACGATAAAACTCATGCACCTTACTAGAAAGAGAGAGATCGGGCAACGGTTTTAAGTTGACATGGTAAGCTAAAGTAATGACCAATACAGCTAAAGAACCTATAGCTGTTCGGGCCTGAGGGGCATTTGACCACTACATTGGGTGAATTGGGCTTATTTAATGGGAATTTGACCAAGTTTGAAAATACCCGCGTGGTTGCCCGGGGTGGGGGGTGTTGAAGTTTTGAATTGATTGGGCACATAAGTTCGGCGGCAAACAACGCTTGCAGAGCTGTTGGGATTCCAGTGAATTCAACTAGCGACCCACGAGTGAAACTATTTCTAGGGTCTGCTATTATTCAAAATAATGTCACTTATGCTGGAGGCCGGCCGGTGGACACATTTTGCTTCCATTGGCTCTGAGGTCTTATTTTTTCTGCTGACAGAATACGCTTTGGCTTAACCTTCCTGATCGTCTGTAAGTTTATGTCTTCCTGGTTTTGCCCACGGCTGTCGCTCTCCTGAGGCGAGCCAAGAGTAGAATATTACTGCGATAACATAGACAATCAGTGTAATCCAAAATACTATCCGCCACTCCTCTTGTTTCTAAATTGAAAAATAACAAAGACATGTCTAAGAATAAAACAAACCAGGCAATTATGAATTTCCAGCTGTCAGGAATCCGATCTTCTTTGTTATTTATGGTTTTGAAAAGCTGAATTCGAGTCTACAGAGAACAGGTCAGTCCAACCACTGATTGGAGCGGATGTCTTGTCCAGCACTCTTGCAATTGTCACTCCTCTTCATTATAATTTAGGTATTGAGCGTGCATCAATTGTTGGTTAAAATAGCCAACCCATTTCTGCTGTTCCAAGATACTGGTCTATTGATACATACACAGGTTGAAGTCCCGAATTTTTTTTTCGGGTTCATATTCAATAACTTAAATTACAATTACTACTGCGACACAGTCATATCTTCATATGAAATTTGTATTTCCGCAGTTCACATCATCTTCATGTTTCATTCTTTTCATGGGTTAAGATGAACTCAACAAATTCAATATTGGCCTCCTTCCAATGTATGGGTCTTCATAGCTCAAATGGTATAACACTGCAGCGCTAACACTGAGGCAATGGGTTCGAATCCCGTTGAAGTCCCGAAATTTTTTTTCGGGTTTATTTGCAATTTCTTAAATTGCAATTACTACTGCGACAATCATATCTTCATTTAAAATTTGTATTTCCGCAGTTCGCATCATCTTCAAATAACTAGGTATGTAGCACGTGGCCTTTAATTAATTTTCATTCTTTCAGGTACTAAAAAAGTTTCTATGAATGACAAAATGTTTCGAAAAACTAGTTTGCGCGCGAAGTACATAAACTCATAAAGAGCTTGCTCCTGATTGTCTGCCTGACAAAATATCTTGAACTTTTGAGCTAAAATTCCAGTGTTCGTCATTCAGATGCTCTATCAATGAATTTATCAATGAAGAGTTCGATGGCAATTAACGAGAACTTACTTTGTGTGATGTGACAAATCCTGTTATTTGGGGACTTATAAAACCAGGCGTTGACGCAAATGTATTGGTGAGGCCCATGAGAATACCAGCAAATGGTGGAGCGATATCCAAATGATTGACAGCGTAACCAATAGCGTTCAGACCTGAGAAACCCACTCCCAACACTAGAAATATTACACTTGTCCTGCGCTGCTGTGTATAGCCTGTTGCTACTATGAATACTCCAGCTGCAAGGCAACCTATTGGCACAACAAACAAGTACATGGATTTGGTCTTCGAGCAGTCTAGTCCGTTGGAGCCATTTTAATAAGATTTAATACAAATAATTGTCAATAAAGCAAATACCAAAAATGGCGACCTCATATACTGCAACATTGTAAATGAATAAAAATCTTTTTATTAAAAGTGATCACTGGAGAGTTTTCTGGGGGGGCCTCAAGCTTATTAAAGCATGACTTCAGAGCATGCAGGCCATTTGCACGATGGCGTCATCATTTTACGACTAAGACCAGAATTCTTTTCGTTTTTCTTTTCATGTTTTTGGTAATCCCAGCGAGCTTTAAATAACGAAAACGCTAATTTGCTCAAGAAAGCAAAACCATGAAGGGTTCTGGTCGTAGTCGTAGTAAACTGACATCATCGTGCAAACGCCTATTGACAACCTTTAAAGCTCTTGAAAATAATCTCCCCTCAATGACTAAATGCGATTTACTGTTTAAGACTTATTCGAGTCCTTTTTATTATTGTATTAACTTATTCATAAAAGCAGATTTGTTCCCTTCTGGGCACGGATTTCATCCTTGTAACAAATCAATAATTACAACGTGTTTTACTGGCTGTCACAGTTAAGCGGATTAAAAGAACATTTTTGCTCTTCTAATAGTTTTCTTTGCGGTGGGTACAAGATCATGCTAATAGAAGGTTTCCAAATGCATACTAAACTGGTGGTTAACACCAGCAAAAGGAAATTTCACTGAAAGTCCAATTTCATTGCAATTTTTCAAACTGTTAGTTTCTTTTGTTAATTAGCTCTTTTTGTATTTCAAGTTGTATTTATGATTCTTCGAGTACACCTTACACGTCGCATTTTAAAGGACATGCGTTGTTCAGTGGCGAAGACCGATATGGACAGTGTTTGTATTACAGAAATGCATAAACAGTACAAACGTCTGTCGTAAAACGTTTTGATTCAGGTATCTCACAACCTGTTCCACAGGATTGAACAGCTTTTAAAGGAAATTTGAACTGGATTAGTTTTACTGCAGAATGATGGGGTAAAGACAAGTAAATTTAATATTTCCTTTCTCACCTGCAGCGTAGAAAACTTTCCGTACTCTACCAACAGTACACATCTTGTATCTAATGAGCATGTCAGCTGTTATTCCACCTAAAGGTCCCAGTATGGCTTTAAACAAATATGGACAGGCTGCCAAGAACCCAGTCTGCAAGTAGAATAGACCTAGATATGTGTACATAGAGCTTCTGATAGGATGGGCCGATTTCTCCTTGAGCATATAATTATAATTATATATTTCTTGTGTGGCTAATTTTAACACATAACTCACCTGCTCTATGTCAAAATCTAGTACATCTTTAAAATAAGTTGGCATCCCAGTAAAAAGGGTGTAATATCCCCAGCAAGCACCAAAATGACCGAACACGATGGCCCAGACGGAAGATGAAGACAAAATGTCTGACCAAGGAAGTGCATCAAACTGCAAAGAAGTTAAATGGACCCATCAAAACCCCCATTTCGACAGACGATGATGTTTTCTAGTATAGGAAAGTTTCTGTTAACTGCTTCTTTATACTTGATTAGCCGTCAAAATTTCCTGGTGATTTTATTGAAAGATTTCAGTCCTGCATATCCCGCTATCACTACCAATATCACACAGAGTACAGATACAAGATCAAAGAACTGTTATAATTGATATTACTCTTCAGGCAAGTATCTTACCTCAACTTTATCTTCGGATCCTTTAATGCTAGTCTCGATAAAATTCCTCTCTACTTGCGATATAGTGGGATGACTTGATGGGGACTCATGAACAATTAGTTCCCAAGCACAGTACCACACTATGCCAGATACTCCTGCAACACATACAGGCTATTTCAATCAAGGTGGTCAATCATGTGCTTAAATCAGTCAGTGGTCTTAAATGAGCACTGTACCTTGAGGTAAGACTGATTACTCAATGAAAAAGAGAGAAAGAAGCCGGGAATCTGGTCTCGAACCTTCAGTTAATCCTTGCCACTTGGCGTATCAAACACCTTTCGCAAAATAATTCCGTGTATCCCCTTATTCTTTGCTAGCAAAATCAAGCAGTATTTTGAAAATTATACAGACCTTTGGATATCTAAAAAAGCGGTTTAAAAGTAAGTTTTAAAGGACTCTGCCCCGCTAAGCAACAGCTTGATAATATTTTCCTTTATCGGGATCTGAATGAAGAAACATAATTACCTATACAGTAAAACACAGATGGCCAGCCGCCATCAAATCCATATTTGGACAACACCCCTGTGAGCGGAATTGCAACTATGTTTCCAAATGGACAACCTGCAAAATAGAGGGAGTCGTTTATAAGTACCAACTAATAGCCAAAAGCCTATAACATGCGTATGGAGGATCGAAATTATTATTATGTTATATCCTATTGTAAGCTTAGTTTAGAGGTAATGGTTGCATTGCCTCTAGATCTTGTAATGTGAGCTTCTCACTGACTCAAAATTTTACCCGCAATTTCATATCTTTCCCTGACTTTTTAGACAGGGGCCCTTTTCTGGAGAAGGAACGAAAAATTTCTCTGACTTTCTATACGGAAGTTTGGCAGCAGAATGAAGAGTTAGCATGTCCCGTAAAAAACCACGGCCAGTAAACCGCCGCTAATTAAAAGATACATCAACATATTTCCTTGGTAATCATTAAGCCAACCGTTACCTTCCAATGATTACCTGCTATGGATATTGTTATTAAACTGCTACGTTCCAATGGCGGGGCCCACTTGCTCCAGATTGCATGATTACAGGGAAATGTGACACCCTGAAGAGAAAGAAATTAGGGCATTGCCAAAAATTTCAACATACACTGACCTGAACTTAAAATCTACCTACCCAGAAATGCTGCAGCTTACCAAGAATAGTCCCTGGAAAATTCGCACACCCACAAGGGCCATTACATGATATCTGGCTGCAATCGGAGTAAGGATGGCTAACAATGAAGTAAGTAACACACCATAACCAAATACGCGGGTACCACCGATTTTAAGGGCAACCCAGGCTCCTGGAATCTGCAACACCCAATAACCGTAAAAAAACGAGCCAAGAACAAGACCTAATAACAAATGAACAAGACAAAAAAGACGTGTTAGTACCTGTATCGCCTAAAAATAAGATTTTTTTAATTTCTTTTCAATGACAGACGTTTTCGGTGGTAAACTTGCAAAGAACCGAGTCATGCGGACATCATTTCAACAAAAGTGAGTTTCCGACTTCGTCTCACATCTGTCTCGTACCCTGATGTCTCTCTCTCGATGAAAATTGCGCGCAAAGGAAGGCGGGAAGGATAAAACGGCAGCCTCTCTTGACTGAGCAACAACCTTCCTTCGTGCCTTGCGCTTCGTCACCAGTCACTTGCCTCTGTGAAAAAAAAACGAAGCGCCTGAGGAGGAGACAGGTTTCTCATCAACCCCAGCAAGGATTTTATAAACTCCGCAAGCCATATAGACGCCTTTAATTCTTACTTCAATGTGCTGAACAAAATCGACACAACGAAAATTTATTTCTAATTCCCAGGAGAAGAACAACCTACCGGAATTCCCGTAACAGCCAAAAGAAGGTAAGTTTAATGTCCCATTCAGGTCTATGGTGGCCGATAACTGCCATTCGTCAAAAGCACATAAATTTGTTAATTTTAGATCGAACTTTAATTATTTTGTATTGGAAATAAAGTGAAAGTACAATGTAAAAACATTTTGTTTTTTATTGAACTGGAAATAGATTCTTCTTTATTATTATTTTCAAAACAAAACAAAATATTTTTACTATGAAATGAAAATAAAAATAAAAGTGAATAAAAGCAAAAGTAAAAATAATTTGTTCACGGCCGGGAACTGCCATTCAAAACAAAAAAAAGTAAAATTAATTTGTTCACGGCCGGGAACTGCCATTCAAATAAAAAAAAACTAAAATAAATATGTCCATGGCCGGGAACTGCCATTCAAAAAGAAAGAAATGAGACTTTTGGTGGGAGTGCGTCGCTCGCGTTTGTTTACAATCTCGTACTCGTACCCAGACTCCCCGGATTCTTTGATAATTTGGCGCCCTTTCGCAAAAATCATTAGACTCAATATGGGGGACACATTTTTGTCATTGTACTGTATGTCAAAGTGACGAAGGCGTCTGTAGACAGTGCGAAGGCTCCATGCATATTGGGCAAAATCCCTTTTCAAAAATTCTAACATTTCTCTCCGTTGAAAACCCTGTTTTACATATTTAGCCATTTCTTCTTTGAGAACGATGTCTTCTTTCCAACCATCATTTCGAAAATATGCCGCCATAATGCCCGTCACTGCGTTCCAGTCCCTCCCCAAATTTGAATGGCAGTTCCCGGCCGTGAACAAATTAATTTTACTTTTTCTGTTTTGAATGGCAGTTCCCGGCCGTGAACAAATTAATTTTGCTTTTTTATGTTTTGAATGGCAGTTCCCGGCCGTGAACAAATTAATTTTGCTTTTTTTTGTTTTGAATGGCAGTTCCCGGCCGTAAACAAATTATTTTTACTTTTGCTTTTATTCACTTTTATTTTTATTTTCATTTCATAGTAAAAATATTTTGTTTTGTTTTGAAAATAATAATAAAGAAGAATCTATTTCCAGTTCAATAAAAAACAAAATGTTTTTACATTGTACCTTCACTTTATTTCCAATACAAAATAATTAAAGTTCGATCTAAAATTAACAAATTTATGTGCTTTTGACGAATGGCAGTTATCGGCCACCATACAGGTCCGTAATCTGGATTTTTTACAGGGAGTGCAACGAAAGTGCAACGAGGAGAAGGACCAAACGATGTCAAAGGCACAAGTCTATGGGGGGGAAGTTGTCTGAGACTACATTCTCATACTTTAAATCTTCAAAAGCATTTTGTTTTAAATGGTATACTTTATTTTCCTTTTATGTAAAATGAACAATGCGGGATGGCACTATTTAATCCGATCATTCGCTAGGTTTGCAGCAAGATCTTTGCATCATCATGATTTTTCAATAGTGTGCTAAGCTCAAGCTTCCTTAGGTGTTTGTTAGAAACAAATCAAGAACTTCTTTCAAAGCCAATGTATGTTAAATGGTGGACGTGTATAAGAGGTGGTGAAGAGAGCCTCTCTTGCGCCGCAAATACTACCTTTTGGTCACAGATAACAGCAGATATTTTAAGCTATCCTCAAAGACAAAGGGCCGCACAAAAAAGGAACAGTGCCTACTTTCATCTCCTTCAAGAAAAAGGGATGCAAGATCCACCCCTTGGCACCCCAAAGTTAAATATAAAGTAATGCTGCTTCCTAGCTATAGTCTCAGTCAAAATTGTTGGGATACTTTCGTCTCTTCTCGCCCACTCAATGTTGGTGTACACGATTTGGTGACTGAATCGCGATAAAAAAGAAGATTGGGAGAAGGGAAAAAACAGCGTTTGGTTTAAGTGTTCCAACTAATTTTGTCTGGGACTGGTCTCACAAGTCAAAATTGTTGGGACTTTACTCATTAAGGAAAAAATGGAGGAGTAAGCGACGTATTAGCAACGGTAAATGCCTTGCAGGCATACCAAATCCTCTGTTAAACTTTTACGCGAACGTCTAAAACACGTTTTATGAAAAAAGCGTGAAGTTTGTTAACTTTTTCCAAGAGCCGTAATATGGCTCTTGCTTTTTCACAGTCTTTTTAAGTGTGCTACACGATCAGTGAATAACAATCGAAAAATATCATTAATCCACTTTGGTTTAAATCGTTGGTCAACAGAAAAGTGGACCTCTGGGGCCTAATTTGGGGTGCGAACGCACCCGTCGCACCCTCCCTCCCTACGGGTTTACCCACAGGTAGCCCAAGCTCGAAATATGAGCATCGGCGAGCATCGGCATTGTTGCGTAACATTCAGAATATAAGGATTTGTATAGGGAAAAAACCTATCGTTTCTGTAACCTACGAAAATGAAAGGATTTCAATAAAAAACAGCTTACTTTACTTAAAATATGTGTTACGTCTCTCCTGTGTGGTCCACGGGCCGATTTATGGCTGTTTTATGGGTTTTTATGTAAACGGTTTTCTCTCTATATAAAGGTATAGCCTAGAAAACCGTTTACATAAAAACCCATAAAACAGCCATAAATCGGCCCGTGGACCACACAGGAGAGACGTAACACACATTTTAAGTAAAGTAAGCTGTTTTTTATTGAAATCCTTTCATTTTCGTAGGTTACAGAAACGAGAGGTTTTTTTCCCATACAAATCCTTATATTTTGAATGTTACGCAACAATGCCGATGCTCGCCGATGCTCATATTTCGAGCTTGGGCTACCTGTGGTTTAATTAGAGAGAAAATGAAATACAGAGACAGAAAAATAGAACACAGCCTTTTCGGAAAATTCAAATGAATTTTAACAGGTTATGTTGCACTTAATTTGCAGTCGATATAAAAAAAAAACTGTGCTTAAACATGTTTGCACTTAATTTGCAGTCGATAAAAAAAAACTGTGCTTAAACATGTTTAAAAACATGTTTAAGCTTTTGTGTAAATGGACCTTAACACTTCTGGGCGTATAAATCTGACTGCGGCTTTAAAGTCATTTTTTTATTCAGTTAAGCAGTTTAACTTAACGGCTACAGTTGAGCTCAAAATATCCTACCTTGGAGTTTCGAGTTCCAGTCAAACTCCGCTGGCTGTAAAATAAAGAAACTACTGATTGAGTTAGGGTGAAATATTTTTGTCAAATCCTTCCTCTAGCCCAAAACACCATACTTCTATGCCATACTGTTTTATACTTTGAATCATATCATTCATACAGCCTTAGCATACCGCTATCAGTGTTTTAAAAAGATCCGGTGATTGCGTTATTAGAGAATGCAAACAACACAATTCAAGATTGTGATTGTAACCTGCCGATAGAGTACTGACGCTCGCCGGAGAGTTGCCCTAACCGTAGAGACGTTTAGTTATCAAATGACCTAAAGAAACAACCCCTCGTGAAGCCGGCCACAACCATCCCGAAAGTAAGGCCTGAAAGTAACAAGTGTCCCAAAAGAAACGACATCCTGTAACGGCAAAATGATTTCCTAGAGATACAGGCGTTAAATCCAAAGACAAGGCCGTAGTCAACAGTATGATGCAAAACGAGGCAGTTGCCTCAGTCAATTCTTTTGCAAGGGAGAAGTACACAAAACACTTATAGGAAATAAATAATTAAATTAACGAAAACAAAAATAAATGCTCATACAAGGCCGGTCTGAGTAGCCCGTTGTGATAACGAGCGTCTCTAACCCTCTTTCGATCAGTTTGTGCGCTTTAGCGCTCTCATGAGGTTGAATACCTGGTGCCATTCATCTATGCGCCCATCATACACCCTATACACCCATACCCTGGAAGAGAATTTAACCATGGACATTGCCACAGCCATATTTTTGGGGGGCTACGGCAGTGTAAAGAGACCGAGGCGACAGACATTTACAGTAAAAAAGTGAAAAATCAGTTTTTCATAAAGTCAGAAATTTAACCTTTTTCCAATTTAATCCCACTTAGCGTTGGCGAGGAGTTAAGCTAGCATACCTTTATTATCTTAACGCCGCCTTGAATGATTGTCTGATTGTTAACCATCGCCACCAAAGCTACGTTCAAGTTAACTCTCATAGCATAGATATTAACGAAACCGACAAATATCATCAGTAACATTATATATCTTTTAGGCACCCCAATAGTTTTTGTTGTTGAGGAACTTCTTTCATGTTTTTCCCTCCCTGATTCTTCTTTCTCTTCTGTTTTTGAAGAGGGTTCCTTTCCATCATACTGTTGATCCATTTTAGAACATTAATGCAGCAATAATGAATCTTCTTCCTTGAAGGAATAAGCAATGGAATGGTTATAAAATCTGTAAAGCCTTAGTTCCATACGTTGTTGTTTCGATCAGGTTCAAACAAACACTGCATAATTTGGCGTCAATTCGACGTTAATTCAAGCATCCCATGCCTCCGTTTTGTTGATCTTGCTGAGATGAATTTGACACCAGGGCCACTTTACTGTTGACTCTAAGCCTTTCTCTGCTGGGTTATTCCAAGGGGTGGGTATCGAAATCTGGCAGGCACTGCATGGATAAATAACTATTCATTGCCGGGATAAAACGTATTTAAAGACTTAATTTCGCTATCAAAAGACAAGTATAGGAACGTAGCTAGTGCTATACGCGTTTTTGACGAAAGGAGCTTTCTAGGTCACATTATCTTTGTTTAGCCGTAAGGCAGGATGTGGCCGGATAGAAGTTTCTCTTCAGCCAAAAATATGACTCTTAATATTGGTCTGTTAAAAATTACATTATATTGTATTGTAGCTTGGAACTGTAGCACAAAAGTAAGGTAATCGAACCTCGTGAAGTCAAAATCAGACCAATCATGTATTAGAATGACGAAACTTAGACAGAGGAGTGAAGTAAATTTATACAGCAGTGATAAAAGGTATTTGTCTTCGTATATTTTCAAATAAAATAGCTTACCTTAAAATTTTCCCACTATCTGCCCGTAAAGTTGCGGTTAAATTGGATGTTTATATTACTAGAGATGCCGGCAACCCAAAGCCCAAAGAAACTTAGATCTTAACTGAATTGTGTCAATCACAAGGCTTTTTTGAGCTGATGTAGCTTTCTAGCTGCTGGCTGATCCATGATCTTTGTCCGCAGTGTTTGAAGCCTTTCGACTGGTGGCAACAGGTAGCGCACCGAATTCAGCGCACGGCTTAACAAGTAATCACGTGATGTAGCATCCTTACCAGGGGTCGTCCGTTTCTCGAAAGTCTCGATAAATAAAGGGCCCGGAAAACCAATGAAATCTGTTGTTGTATATAGAGATAGAGGTTTCAATATTTTTCTAGATAACAGTGAAAAAATGTCAGTTAGATGAAACGGACTGTTTTGTAACGTAGGACCCAAGCTTTAATGTGAATATTTGATTTTGGAGTTAACGCGACAAACGTGCCTATGTCCTTTTTTCCTATAGAGAGCCAGAAAAAAGGAAAGAAACCCACCCTGAGGCAAAGTGAGTAGTATTCCTAAATCATTTTCTTTATCTTTTTCATTTATCTTTTTTAAAGAAAATAAGAACCTATTTAAGAACCTTTGGCCCAAAATTGTGTTAATAACCATTTACGCAAGAACCCATTAACAGGTGATTAAGGCTAACTTGAGAAAACGCAGGTTATTACTCACTGCTTTCTACTGTGGATGTTCGTGAAAACATACAAAAAATTTTTTAAATTCTGCTTAAACGATTGAACTGCACAAACATTTATCTACAAAGCTTAAACCAACTAACGGCAATTTTTTTGTAGCCGTTATGAGAGTGCTTTCACTGCTTTGTCCTCTACGCACATGACAACCCCCCATCTGCAGTGCATGTAACACTTCCTTATCTGAAAATTATCCTCCCTCCCCCCCACAAAGAAAAAAAACAAAAAAAAAACAATGAAGATGAGCTCTCAGCAAAATGGTCCGAACTCCCTCGGGGTCATATAGCAGCTCTCCTAACCCTAGAAGCCAATTGGTTAGCAGCTCCTACATTAGTGCTCCCTCACAGGTAATAAACGACCTGCCCCCTAATACTAAATTGATTGTTGATATCACATTTTATTACTGTTGTATTGTCTGGAGCAACACTTCTGAACACAACCTGAACAGGATCCACGCTGTGGAAAATGTTTCGGCCCGTATCGTTAGCAACACAAGGAAATATGATCATATTTCCCCTATACTAAAGATTTGCAGTGGCTACCAGTAAGACAGTAGCTCTTCTACCGTCATGCAATGACTGACTGTGCACCAGACTAATTGTTTTCTAAATATATTCAAAGCTAGCATTACTAAGTGTAGCACAAGGAACTCCCAGATGTCACATATTCCTCTGTATAAATCCACCGCAGGACAAAGAACCTTCTATTTCAGAACAGTTAAACTTTGGAACTCACTGCACCCTGCCCTTAAGCTCAAAACGACCTTAAACGACTCCAAGAGTTGTCTGAAGAAAAACTTAAATTTTTTGGAGAAATATTTAGACTTTCATTTTTTTGAAATCAATTTTTACTCAGTTATCAGTGTACATAGTTTTAGTTACCATTTTTAGTTATTAACTTCTGTTGTTTATGGCTCCCCACTCTTTATATTACAGACATTATACATTAACCCTCGGACGTACACGCAAATTCATACCCCCACCGCGGTACAAGGGGAGGGGGGTGGATGGAACCCCTCCCTGGAGTTTTTGATATGTCGCAGTATTTCGAAACGATTTTTCCTTTAGTGGAAAGCCTTTGATCTTGTTAACATTTTATGGGTGGTGGCGCTGCTGAAGGCCTGTGACGTCACCAACAATGGCTGCCATCTTGTATTTTACCAAGAATTAGAAATGAGGTTAAAATCGCGAGAAATAGTAGTTTTTGTCCTTTACATAAAAATAACCCCAAAATAAGCACTTTGCATGAGTTTAGCCACAAGATTTACTTTTATTTTTGAAAGAAGTTAAGAAAACATGGGGTTTCCCCCAAATTGGCTTGACCACCCGCTACTTATGACGAACCGTGATAGCAACTGACCATCACTGAACTTGTCTCAAAATTTGCGCGAGGGATGAACGAATAGCTGCTGAAAACGCCAGGTGCTGATGTTTTATCCTCTAGGAAAAAACTCAGGAAAACCCTGCCTTGTACGTCCGAGGGTTAATTACCTTCCTTATTTGAAACATTCGGTTGTTGGGTACTGTATTGCTGGTTTTCAGTGTCACGCCATTCAAAATAGATCAAAATAAAAATCAAAACCGTTGAATAGATAAAGTCCAGAATCTGGGAACTGAAAGGAGCTAAATATGCAAAGACCCTCGCCAAGATTCAGGTGACACTAAAACGGCTGTGTAGCAGACTATTTAAATGACGGCCAAGAGAGTTGTCATGTAGATTAAAAGAATGACTTATTTCAGGGAATTTTGCTATCTAAACAGTTTATGTATTTAAAGAAGTATTACTTTAATGTTTATGAGATCCTCGAAGAATAAATTCACGCTTTTGTAGCAAAACTCGGTGACAGATGTTTGTGTTGGTTTCCGTCCGCCACTGTTGGTGCCCATCCGGATGAGCACCAGCATGGCGACTCCATACAAATCTCTATAAATTTGGGTAAAACATTTCTTCCGATATCTCGTATACGAAATATTCCTTTGACGAGCGTTGCGTGACGACTCTAAAAACGGCTGTGTAGCAGACTATCATTTAAATACCGTGTCACGCAAAAGCTTAGAAATTCAAGCGTACTCTATCGCAAAGCCAAGGACCCTTTTGAAGCGAAAATTGGTATGAAAATTTGTTTTCAGCTGCTCAGATACATCATGAAAGTGAAATCTCGGTAGGATCGATAGTTTTGTAGTTTGAATTTTAGTGACGTCAAGTGAAAACCGACAAGACGGGATCAATACCATGAATACGGGTGTTTCATAAGGAAGGTTTTGCGCTTACCCTCGTTATGAAAGTGAGAGTTAGATTGTTTGGGTGCCCTGTGCTAGAATTACTCTGTACCCACCACCCACCCATACAGGGCTTCGAGAAGGAGAAAGTAGGATATACAGAAGATTGCTAACACAGGAGAATGCAGTGTAGCGCGATCTCCGGAAAGTTTTGGATAGTGTGAAGCTTGCCTTCAAACACCAGAAACATGTCTAAATCACTAGCAGAGCTATGTATGTTCTGTATCGCCAGCAATCTCCAAAATGTTTCTCGTTTAGGAACGTTTTTGTCGAAGAACGACAACGAAGTCCTACTGGAATTGCTTTGTGATCATGACATGTTCACAGGGAACAATATGCCTCATATAACGTACCAGCTTCTTACATCTCGGCTTGAAAACATTGCATTCCGTTACAGCAATCAGGTGGACGATACACTGCTTCAAAATGTTGCCCTCTGCGGTTGTAAGCTGAAGTCGTTTACGCTCAAAGAATGTCCAATGGTTTCAGGTATTTATTGAATACAGTCATACCACATCTACTTCAATAAGCACTGTTATTTACGCCATACTCACTATTTGTTTTGACTCTGGCTTAGAGCCTACAGTTAATTTTGGAAATCAGCGCAACCTACAGATTAGTTAAATAGTTGTCTGGTAACAGATACGCTGTGGCTATATGGCCGGTAACCGGTCAAGGTTTCCAAAACACTAAATGGCCGGCAGTCCTATATTCTTAGCAAATTTCACAAAATCGAAAGATTCTAGCTAATCTAAACTATCATATGTCGATTTAGAAAAGTCAAGCGATCCTGAAATGCTTTTCACATCTCAAGCCACAAGCTTTAATATAACAGGGAAGCATTTGCATCCTACTTTGCAGATGAGTTGTATCAGCTTTGTTGAGCATATGTTCTTTAAATGCGATGAAATTCGTTTAATTTCGGTTGTCTACCGTTAAATGCCGGGTTATTCTTCATTTATATCTGTCTGATTTCATTAAAATGTGGCGACTAGGTTTCGCCTGCCACTGGCCAGTGCTGTCTCCAAAAATGTACGGGGATTGCCGTCTTGGTCGGCACAGCTGGATATCCCAGGGAGTGGGATGGATCAGGCTTAGGGGGAGCAAAACTACAGGGTTAGGGGGAGCTATTTTGACACAACCCCTTCAGCAAGGAGCAGTGTTTACTGGAGGCCTTGACTAGCAAGTACCTTGTTCTTAATTTGCCATAGCGAGCTGAATCAGGCCTCTGCTGACAATAATTATCATGATAATTGCAGAGCTCAGGGGGAGGTGCAGACAGTTACCCAGTGTGCTGGGTGGGAAGGGTGAAAGGTTTGGTACCAAGGACTTAAGCTTAATAATAGTTAACAGCTAATGTCCAGGGCCAGGTTTTTTGAAGCTGGGTTAACATAACCCAGGGTTAGTGCGAAATTTGAACTCAGATTTGAGAGCTTAAAAAGCATATTCAGTTTAAGTCTCTTTGCCTTCAATTGGATGATTGGATACTCTAAAAAGAATAGAGAAAACTATCCTAGAGAGTGCTTTTGATAAAAAGAAAAAGAAACCCCAGTTTAAGTTTAACCCCCTGGTTAGCACTAACTGGCGTTTGAACAACCGGGCCCAGGAGTCTAACTACAGTGTTCAAAGTCTTTTAAAACAAGCATAGTAATGTAGTAATGGCCGTTTTTATGCTAGAGACGTTAAAGTCGTTTAGACGCATTTAACGTCTGAGACGTTAAAGTCGTCTAGTGTAAAAACGGGACGCACTAAAGTAGACAACCTTATTTAAAAAAGTAGATTTTTCTGAAAAAAGGACTAGGCTCTACTCTCGGAAGACACTGGACACGAGTTAAAGCGGCGCCAAATATGAACTTCAAGCCCGCGAAATGCCAACAAATTTTTTCTCCACTGCTCTTTCAGCTATTTATTTATATTTTGCTCGTAGCTTAACAACTGATGTATCGATTTCCTTTGCTTTTCCTTTCTTAGAACTGGTTGCTGTCTTCGCTTGTAAACAAGCATCTAACTCTTTCTTAATGGCTTCAAAAATATGAACATTAGCTGACTTTTTGAGTGCAAGAGTCTCCAAAATTAATGCAAATTCAGTTCGGTCGTCTGCGAGAACAGATGCAAACTCCTTAAGTTCATCCTCACTCCACTTTCTACCATGAGACTCCTTCATGCTCTTCTTGGCCGCCATGTTGTTTTGCACTCGTCCCAGTGGTCTCTGGACGAGTCGAGCATAAATGCGTCCTAGTTTACGACGTCCCGTCTTTATACCAGACGACTTTAACGTCTGAGACGTTAAAGTCGTCTGTTAAGTGCGTCACTCGGATGCACTTAACAGAAGACGTTAAAGTCGTCAGACGTTAAATTCGTCTGCCTTATTTACCGTTTTTATGCTAGATGTTAAGGTCATCTTGAGATGACTTTAACGTCTCAGAGGACTTTAACGTCTCTAGCATAAAAACGGCCAATAGCTTCATACCCCAGTAATACCTTACAGCTACTGCCAAGGTGTCTAGCAACTGTGTTCAACGTATTAACCTGAGGTAAAGTTAGAAACATGTGAGAAGACAGAACACACAAAGTCTTTCATCCAAGAGGGAGGCTGTCTAACACCAACAGGTCAAAGAGAAGGAAGAGTTTCCATTGCTTCAGAAGGGAGGGTAGGATATTTGGCAGTGACTGTTGGAGGTGCCAGTTCAATTTCTTTTGATGCTTCTGTGGTTGTTGACCCACCCTTCTGTTTATCTGGGGTGTCATTATAAGGGTCTGGCTGGACAAGCTTTTTCATGTGGCTTGTGTTGTGTATCTTTTAGTGTTTCACTCCTGATCTCCTATTATAACTGCATAACCTTTCTTTTGAATCACTTTGTATGGTGCTGCTCTTGTTAAGCAGGATCTGATAACCTTCCACAATGTCACTGTATTCTGCTGAGCGCTTCACATCTGCATACTCTTTTTTCCTGAGGTTTTTGTGTGCATCCCCTTTGTGGAGGAGTTGTTGCCAGTGGGCTTCGCTGATTTCGTCAGTGGGGATGGTTACCCTTGGGAGCTTGTCATTGAGTCATCTGCCCATCAAAAGCTCTCTCTTTGCTTAGTAATTGTTAGATTGTTATACTATTTCTTTTTAAAGGATTTAACATTTTTAACTTTCTTTTGATCAGCGGACAGTTTGTTCCAATTTCTAATAATTGTTCTCACGCTAAAAGTGTGGCCTTCCCCTGTGTCTTTCAGTTTCCCCAGACCCTCAAAAAACTTTGGGAAACTTAGTCATAAGGGCTGCTTTTTGGTCTACAAATTGGGTATTTTCAAGATTCACATTACAGCTGTTTACATCAATTCCAACTTTAAGTACTGCAAGAAGCATTTCCAAAGTTTTACGACCAAGCAAATTAAAGTGGCAGCATCCCCTGGGACTACAAAAAATTCTGCAACTGTTGACTTGTTGGTTTGTGGCACAGTGACTCTTAGTTTACTGCTCCTCTCAAGCTTCAGGGGTTAAGAGTGTGTTTATGCATACACAATTCTATCATACTTTGCTAAAGTGGTTCCCCCTCGTATGAAAGAGACTGAAAAACATTTTCGGACATGAGATTACTGCTAGTCCCTGGATCTATAATAACACTAGTAAACTTATCATTTATATACAGTTGTAGTACTCTCAAGGCCTTTGCTAGTGGAAGAACTAAATACATAAGACACATCTTCTTTTGCTTCCCCACAATCCTGTTACTGGGTGGCAGTTTCCACTTTCTCCTGCTTTCTGCTTCTTCTCAGGATGGTCCTCGATTGGCTGCATTTGGGATTCATGTTAAGTTCCTGTCTGTATTGACAATAAACTGCAAAATGGCTGACTCAGCCACAGGTTTCTTTCTTTTTTGTTTTCAAGGCTTTGTTTTGGCAGTGCCCGGTTGCCTGAGGTAACTAACATTTGGCCGGGGGGAGTGAAAAAAATTTCCCGGTCACCAGGCCCAAAACAATCCTAAACGTTTCACTGACAATATGAGGAAGAAAGTTAAAGATGACCTATTTTGACAAATTAATAGGTTTGGTGCTGCAGCAGTTTCACTGTTTCACGAAAGTTTTCGTGGGTTTTATAAACAACATGCGGCGTTCAGCAGAGCAATAAAATCAGTGTGCATACAGAACACTACAATTGAAGCTCTTGTGAGCGACCACCTTGGAAATTCGGAAAAGTGGTCGTAACTAGGGCTGGTTGCTTATGAGAATGAGCTCTTGTAAGTCACCACATGGTACAACAATAGAGGGTAAATGCATATGAGAGCTTCAGAAACTTATTAATAATTCATAAAAAAAGAAAAGATATTAATATTAATGTTTAATGAGTGTCTTTATATCTGAACTTTATAATTTGAACTTTTACAAATACAATACTGCTCTGTACAAGATCTTTATCCACGAACCATTAGTGCAGTGTGCAGTTTCATTAAGTGTTGGTCTGTATGAATAAGACTCTGAGCGGTCGCTTACGAGAGTGTTAATAAAACAAAGGAAAAATCTGGTTGGGTAGTCTCAAAAGTGATCACGGTCGCTCACAGGAGTGGTGGCTTACGAGCTTTTAAATACAAAGTTTAAGCCACAGTTCAAACAGGGTGTCACCAAGTTGGTTGTAACTAGCCGGTCGCTTACGAGAGTGATGGTAAGGAGAGCATCTACTGTATTTCACGTGCTTGTTAAATAGTTTAATTGATTAATAAGATGTTCAGAGGCGACCAACTTTGAGGCCTGGGCACCCCAGCTGGAATGCTTGATTGCTCCCTGAAATTTTTCTTAGAGCACAGGCTTGTTGTTTTGTTTGTTTATTTGCTTTTTTTTTTCATATATTTTCTTTTCTCTATTGGCTTCTTGCCCTTTCTTCCTACTTCCGGCCATTAACCTCTGAGGTTCAGCGATTATCATATTTCTAGTTAAAACAATTTTTAGATTCAGCTTTATCGTGGTATCAGGAACTATGAAGGGCTTGGTAAGTGTTATCAGCCAAGGCGAAACACTTACCTAGACCTTGGTTATGCCTCATCCAGTTATTGTTATGATTTTACACAATTCTGTATTTGATTCAAGTTTATTTAATTTTGCAGGGGTGAAGTGGGGGGTGGGGTGGGGGGGGGTTGACGTTAACTATTCAAGGTCCTTGAAAGTAATGCCAGAAGATACATCACCCAAACCTCTGGGGGAAGTTCTTAATCTCCCTAGAATGGCCTATATGGAAAGGCTCCACCCAAAAGGGGTACCTTTTTCAAGCTTCAGGTATACAAAAGGGTAGTTACATTGTATTTCAATAGTTGAAGTATAAAAGAGGGTAGGGAAATCAGTCATTTCAGTGTGTAAAAAGACTGAAAAGGGCTAGTGGAAGCAATTTCCTGGTTTGATGATTTATTCATTTACTGCAGTTAAATAAATAAAGATGTTTAATCACCACATTCTCACATTAAAAATGAATTACAATGTGCTTACAATATGCAGAAAAATTACAAAAACGTTATTGGGACTGGAGTTTACAATATACATGTAATAATTAAAAAATAGTAAAACCTAGTAAAATAATTACAAGAATATGGTTCAATCATAGTTACCACAAGAGTTTTACTAAGAATAACATTTAACTTTTAAAAGACGTTGCTTTGGCCATTAGGATAGTACTAAGGAAAAAGCTTTGCCCGAAGTGATCAGTTTTGCGTTTCAAAGACGTCCAAGAGTTAGAATTTCTAAGAGAATAGTCATGGGCGATAGTCCTGATACTGAGTTCATTGTCCCTGTCCTCAAGTCTAGCGATTTCAGCAAGTTGTAAGGCTTCCTAGTATGAAGAATTATATTATCCTTAAAGTATGCATTTGGACCCTCTTTATTTCACTAGAAAGAGAGGCAGGAAGGGGTCACACTGCAAAGTTCTAAATGAAGTATATGTGAAAGTGGAAGGTATATGAAAGGGATACCTTTTCTGTCAAAAATGGTACATAAAAGGGTAAGGTAAGGGGTTGGGGCCTCCTTATATAAAACTTGTATTTTTTTCTGACTTGTATTTTGGGGTAATTTTCATGGGGTGTTTATTAGACATGGGGCATTTATTAGTGAGGCATTTAAATTTCACAAAGGCATTTACTTGAGAGAGTGTGTTTATTAGTTTATTATTTTATAGTACTGGTATCTTAATGGCCTAGGCTGGGTTTAATATTCTCCTGGTGAACTTTAGCAGGATCAGGTTACAGTAATGTTTCATTATACAATTAATGTCAGATCCTGAGGGAAACAGTTTTGTGTTCCAGACAGTCCTGATGTTTCCCAAGACGAATTCTTGGGAAACATCAGGACTCAAGGGAAAACAAAACTAACTGGTTTCCTGAGGGACCTGACATGTTGTGTTTTGTTAGATTTCTAGACTTTCACTTCAACAGCAACAAAAGAATAACCAAAGCGAATCAAAACAGTTGACTCGATTCTTATAAGAAACCCCTGAATGAATGATTTACAAAGTACTCTCCTTATATTATCTGCATCTTTTTCCTCCACTAGCTGCTGTTTCTCTACAGGGATAACTTTGAAAATTGTTGCTTTTTAGCTTGAGGCTTCATGTTTTTGTTGTGGACTCTTGTTGTGTTCATCCCCAAAAGGGAAAACTAGCAGTGTTTTTCCCACCTTCTGTCATGCCACTTTCCACCATGCCTTGATGATGTGCTGTAATGTACCCCGAACAGGGTACAATTGCTCAAATGTATCACGATCAGGATACATTTGATTTTAGTCAAGGCTATATATGTGACCAAGAATTAACCAATGACAGTCGCTGTTTAGTTGAGTGAAAGTCTAGGAATATGACACAATTACACCTAACTATGTCTCTATTTTGCTGTAAAATCTTAAGAACAAAGCAAAAAGGCAAGCATTGTTAGCCATGAGTTTATGTAGAGTCCAGTGTGAGGGAAAACAGAAACTTTGTCTTGTAAATATGATGCTTCTGTTTTGCCTCAGATTTTAGAGCATTAGAGGGGCTGTTTGCAATCACTTGTTCCTAGCTTCAAAATGAAAACTAAGGACCAGTTATTTAAAATGGAGGTAATCAGTCTTTTACAAAATCAGGGTCTAATCCATTTTTCTTTGCCCAATCGTAATTATCTATTCACTACTTGCAGTAAACAGGTTCCTGGATTAAAGCATATACAAACCGTTAAATAAAAAAACACTTATCTTTTTAAAGTAACTCACATAGAAAGAGATCTAGGGGTCCAGTGATTTCTAAAGCCATTGCAACAGTTAAGCCTGGTTCTAGTATATTGCTGTCGACCCACCTGTGACATTGAGAACATGTGACACCTTAAACAACGGCCATTATTACAGGTTTTTACTGCTGGCATACCTGCGAAGTTGAACCCAAGTCAACTGTGCAGGCACGCTGATAGTAAATGCTAGGAAAGCCAATGTTGCTGGCAACTTCTGTTCTCATGCAGCAGGTAGGTTGGTGACATGGATGAGAACCAGGCTTTAGACTTTGTTTAAATTACCAACCCTTTTGTTTGCAATATACATAATAGTGCACACTTTGGTGACACCTACCATTTATTAATCTTTATTATTATTATTATTATTCTTTTATTACTATTATTTTTGCAGAGAAAGGATTATCTTCTCTTCTGAAAAGTCAAACAGACTTGGAACTTCTACTTGTGAAATGGAACTCGTCCCACACCAACTTAACTGACAAGTGCTTGACTACACTACATTCTTCAAAACTAAAATCTGTGACACTGGTAGCTCTTGACCAGCTAACAAACAATGGCCTAATTACCCTGGCCAAGAACTGTCCCAATATTTGTGAACTTATGGTCCCACGATGCAACCAACTCACTGATGGTTGCTTTCAAGCTGTTACTACACTTTTGAAGGGAGTGCTGGTAAGTGTTATTTATTTTAATAACTGATATTTAATTGAAGGTGACCCTACACTGTATGTGAAAAGGGGATGACTTATGATTTGGGCTATGTGATTGACATGTGACTTCAAACACCCTCCTGTAGTTATATTTTGGCCCACTTGTGTTCACTTATTTTTTTATGAAGACAAAGTCAAAATTGGCATTTGGGCAGGCTCTATTGTGGATGATAATAGAGAGTTTAAGATACCACGACAGCGACAGCCGTGAAAATGTTGCTTAAAAAGTGAATTTGCGTTCCTCCAATCTCTTATCGCGATTATTCGAATTCACTTACTTTGTCAAATGCAAGAGAGCTATTCTGAAGCTGAATTCCTTCCAATCATATCCAAGTTCAGAAAGAGAAAGAAAATTCTGTCGTCGTTCGTTCACGTTAGGTTCGTAAAACGTGAGACTAGGCATTTTCATCATCGTAGTCATGCAAAGACAGAGAAGAAATGTACAAAGAAGCATGCTGCATGTGCAGAGTTGTTGTTTTGCCTATTCAACCTAGTGGCTTCTTAAACTCCCTAATATGAAAAAGAGAAAGTGAGTAAACACAAGTAGAGAGGGAGAGAGGAAGGGGGAAAGGAAGCAAAGAAAGGGCCTGGGTAGGAGGTATTCAAGGGAAGTTTGAGTAGAGATGTGCTCCCGGGCTCCCAGACTTGCGGGGCCTTTAATCACTAACCCTGTTTAAAACAAAAATTGTACATTCTTTCATCCAGTTTAATACAAGAGGCCTTATTTCATGATCCTGATTAACATTTTTTTGCATAAATAATTAAGTTATTTTTTAAGCTAACACCATGGAATTTAATTTTTTGGTAAAAAAATAACTATTTATTGGTATGGTAACCACAGATGTAGAGTTGTCATTACCAACCTTCACACTCTTGTTATGTAAGTATTTCCAATTTTAAAAGACATCCTGTTGATGATGCTAAATACGTACCGGTATTCAAATTACTCTGTTAAAGACCCTCAAATCATACCCTGTTGAGCCCTGTTGAGTGACCCATAACTGTTTAGTCCAAAAAAGGGAGTGTCCCCTTAGGAAAGGGTTGCTGTAGACAAAACCTTATTAGCATTATTGAAACTGCTTGGTGAGACTGATTCAATATGCTAAACACAGTTTGATAGGTTGTGAGTCGTTGTTGGTAGAGTCGTGACAGTTGGCAGGTTTGTTGTGGTAGCTTTAATGGTCAAATGTGGCACGGACAATATATATATATATATAAGATATTACATTTATGAGGTTAACCTTAAGATTTTGATTATTTCCATTTCAACATGGATAATTTAAAACAAGCCTAAAATTGATTTTTGAAATTAGTAGGTTTAAGCAAAATTCAGTCCTTGATCAAATTTCCTTGTAAGTTTGCAAACTGCTTATTCATTGGATAATCCTCACTCGTTAAAACAACTTAAAGAACTTTGTAACAAACATGTTTAAATGTTGATTAACTCAGAAAATTCCTTTACTCAAATTCTATATTTTATTTTATGTTTTCTTTGCTTAAAGTTCACGATTAGCAAGCTACTAGATTTCGCCAAATTAGAATTGCCTATAAAAGACTCCCACATTGTTCCCTAATTTCGGAATGCTCAACACTTGTGTGTGTATCGAGATCACTGAGATTGAAAGGCTTTTTGACTCTGTATACTCTCATGATAGAGGTTTTAATGGTAAAGGGATTAAGCATTTCTTGAGGCAGATGAAGTTTGCTATTTTGCTTTATATGACATCAGACTTTGGTGCGTGGTAACAATAATGCATGCATGTCTTTTTTAGAAAAACTGTGTTAGCCACCTTAATTAGCAAATTTAATACCTTTGCCAGGAAGTATTGGATCTGTCTGGAGTTCATCTGTTGACTGATCTGAGCTTAGTAGCCATTGGCTCGGGAAGCTGCCCTAATCTTCGAGAGTAAGTGATTAAAGTTTTAATATTAGCCTACTCCTAAGGATGTTTATAGATGATGATCTGTGCATAATAATGTGAATGACCAACAAAAATACAATGAGGTCTTATTGCATGAGCAAGCAATTGGAGACTTGCTGAGATTAAAGGTCAAACACTTTTTCGTTTGTGGAGAGTTTATATCTAAATTTGCGTATAAGGCACCTACCCAGCATTGCTCAATGTACCCAAGGCCCCTTTGGGGTTTGCTACCCCTGGCTTAACCTTGAGTGTAAATTCCTGGGTAGAGTATTACTAAACAGGCATGTAGCTATTATGCAGCTGTGAAATGCTGGTATGTTATTTAATGTGCATTTAAGTGCCTCATTCGCAGTTGTTTCAGGATACAGTGGCCATTTCTACTACTTCAGGACTGAACTTTGCAGCAAAAATTGCCAGCACATTTTGATTGCAATTTCAGCAAAAACATGTTTTTGCTGAAATTAAGGATCTGGTGTGTTTTGGAATACTCGTTAACGTAAATCAAAAATTAAATATAGCAAGAATAGCAAATTTAAATCAGCAAAAAAATTGATTCAAATGGTGAAAAAGCAAAGACAACCCTTGAGAAATCGCAAAAGTAATAAAATAAGGAATATGGTAAAGTTTGTTCTTGTCAACATCAATCGCAGATACAGCGAAAGTAACAATCTCAGCAAATGAAAGGTCTTTAATCAAGCAGGTAAGGTAAAGAAGGCCCTTGAAAAGTTCGAGAGTTTAGCAATAATCGCAAAAGAAACAAAGATTTTCTTATCTATGCGAATACTTCAGTGTTATAGATTATCAAGTCAGAAATTTGACGATGGGGACGTTTATTTTCAGCACAACAATTGACACAACCATCATGTATGTGTGCGGCTTCGTTTTATTATCTATGGACATCAGGGATAAGTCTTGCTGCATTAGTTTTCTTCTCCACTGCGTATCAGTTAGTAATTTAAAACAACAATTACCATTACAGCAGGAACAATATGGCGGGATGATGGCAAAATACAACATCAGAGATATCAGAGATTACACATCACGAGTAACTGGTTTAAGATAAACACAACAGTCAACATGTCTGACCTGTTGAAAAGCACTTAATTTACCATGTATTGCTGGTCAGGTGATACACAAATAATGATGCGCAAGGGTGGTCTAAGTATTTTTTCTGTTACATCCTTGTCTTTTTTAGAGTAAGAAAACTGAAAAGAAGAAAAATAAAATTAAGTAAAATTTATGCTTAAAAAAATGAAAAATTATGATGCCTCAGTCCTTGGATTTAAATGAGAACAAAAGCTGAAAAGGTTCTTAGTCCCTAATTTGGCCTAAAGGCGACACTGGTGGAGCTGGAGCATGGTCAGGCTCGTCCTTGGGTAGATTCTGATGTGCACTTCTAACAAGAGACTGTTCTGCATTTAAACTTCATGTCCTGGAGATGGGCGAACTTGTAGCTGTGTCTGTTGCGGCGATTCTTTCTCCTATTTTCTACCTGAATCAAATAGGACCCTGTTGTGTGATGATGTCTGACTACCGACTCTGGCTTCCACCCTCTGGAATCCGTCCAGGGCTGCATTCACACCTTCGTTCTGGGCTGTAGTTCCTTCATTTTGCTGCTTGCATGTCGGTCATGGTGCTTCTTCTGATCCTTCTTGGTATCCCATGGACTCCAAATTGCCTCTTCAGCTCTTCATTTTGGTAACTTCTGGTGTTCCTCTTGAAATTCAAGCAGGTGAGTTCCTAGGGTTTCAGAGGCTCCGTAGGCTGTTTCTCGACAAAATCTGCACACACGCTACAATTGGTGACCGTTTGCGCCACATCTAGACATTCCAGGCCAAAACAGCACCTCTCTAGCTCTTTGTCTGCATTCCTAGGTGACTCTTGTGGATCTGGCCAAGTATTTCAGGTCTTAAAACCTTTGGGACAGTCAAACATCTTCCTTTGAAGAAGAGTCTACCTGGTGTTGTGGCTTCATCATGGAATGTCCAGTCGGGTCTTGACTCCATAGCAACTTGCTGCTTTGTGTCTGGCCATCAAATTCTCACCATTGTTAGGACTGCTTGTAGCTCTGTTTCTACTTTGGTCTCTGGAACTCTTCCTACTCTTACCGTGTTGATTTCCTGGAATTCTTCAACTTGAGTTTCCTCTACCTCGACAGTTTCGTAAAATTGTTCATCCTGAGCTACACACTGATTCAACCGAGTGCACCAAAGGGGTGACTCATCTCCACTGTCTCCTGAGTCATCTGAACTAACTTGTGAAACATCCTCTTCTTTTAGTTGATGCACTTGTTTTGATCTACAGAGCTTGGAATAATGATTCATCTTTTTGCAGAAAGTGCACAGTTGTCCCATTGTTGGACGTTTCTAGTGGGTTTTGTCGTAACCTTACCTCCTGTGCTTGTTTTTCTTGTCTTGTCTTTCTTTTCCTTCCGAAGCTTTCTTTTCAAAGTCTTCCTTGTTTTTGCAATGATTTGAACTCTTATGACGACTCCGAGTTTCGCGTTTTTCTTTGCTTACAACATTCACAGTCCGGTTTCGTCTTTTAGCAAGTTTCTTTCGACTGTTTAGATTTGTTTCATGGTTGCGACCAATTTCTGCAGCTCTCGCGAATCAACTCATCGGTTAAATTGAGGCACTTTGCACGAACTTTAGTTGCAACTGAACACAGTTGCGTCACGAACCATTCTTTCCTCCTGTTCTTGGTAAAAACGGACCTTCACGAGGACCTTCTTGATCCGTAAACCACATTAAAAATGGTGTTGACTTTGTCCGGAAAATCGAGGGCCCGGAAGTATTGCCAACTCAAAAGCTTGTATGTTATGATGTCTCGGCTTTTTTCTCGAGTATCCTGGTGAATCAAGCCATGTCTGTTACACAACGCAAGTTGCAATTCTCCCCTGACCACAGCGAGTTTTCACCTCCACAGATCCGTGAACTTCTTTCTCACCAACAACTACTTTGTTTATGATGGCCAGTTCCATAAACAGAAACACGGTGCAGCCATGGAGGAAGACGATCTTAGATCAGTTGGAAACCCACCCTCATTATGGTACAGATAAGTGGATGATGCTTTCTCCGAACTACATCGCTGTGATGTGGAAGAGTTTTCCCAACATCTCAACCCGCGAGATCCGATTCACATCGGACCCAGGGGAAGACGGAAAACTACACTTCCTTGACGCTTGCATCAAAATTGAAGAGGTTGGCTCTACCAGAATCACAGTATAAAGGAAACCAACTCATACGGACCATGGACTCACTATCGACTGATAAAGGCTATTAAGCGATTTAGCTGAAATATCTCGTAGCAAATATTTTATACGTTCCAGTCTATTTCTTCTCATTGATGTCGATGTAACACGAAATGAACGTTTTCTCTTCAACAATTACTAGGGTCATTGATATGTGTATACCTCGTTCTTTAGGCAATAAATACCCTCTGGACCTATCAAGTCAGAAATGGAGAAGAGAGAATTGACCAAACCATTATATCTGCTTCGTTCTTTTAGCTATGGATGCGTGGTCTGTAATTTACCATGAACAACAATTACCAGAATCAATGATACACCCTAGAAGGTCCTTCTTTCCCTTACTTCTTAATAACACTGAACTATTACTAAATTTGTTATTGTTGTTAATTTTGCGATATTTGCAGGCGTCTGACATATTCTCTTGTGAATAATTGTTTGTTGATAAAAAATTGCAATAAAACAAGCAAATTTTTGTTGCAGAGTTCAATCCTGAACGTTCTTTTCTGTTACCTGTGTGCGATATTTATGTGCAAAATGGGTCTTAATAGCACACCTCACCTTAAAATGCTGTGCCCCCCTGTTGTTATGTTAACAGCAATTTGTCTAAGTTAATATCCAATTTTGCCCATATTCAAGCGTCGTTAGGGTGCTTATCTTGCATTAGTCAGAACTGGTTAGCCAGACTAGTCCAGTCCATACATATAGAGAATTCCACTATTAATCAGAAGTGTCTATAAATCAGATCACTTATTTTTTTTAATGTAGCAGTCAGCGATGGGTTTCCTTGCAGTGTCCTTAATAAAGGAGGTTTTTTCAAAACTTTAGATCAACACAACCATAAAACTAGGTGGTGTGTGTTTTACGGGTCCATTTGAGCTCTGATATGTTGTACTATTTTTTTTCTCATTGCAGGCTTTATCTTAATGGATGCACCATGATTTCTGGTGTAGGAATACAGCAGGTACTAAAATCAACAGTTCAACCAATTAAGTCAGCAAATGGTTAATTCTTGATATCTTGAGCATAAGCATTGTTCCACTTTCTGAAAAAAAACAACAACAAATATTTACCAACTTGCTCAATCATAAATATTTTGAAAACTCAGCGCTATTCGATCTCATACATATACTGTAATTCGTAATGTTTGCTCTCAATCCTTTTTTTACATGATTGAAAGAAATACTTCGTTAAATAAAGAGTTTTGTACGTTTTGATAACAAATATCGATATGATGTAAGAAAGAGGAGTGAAGTTAGCTTACCTTTACTCCTAATGTGGTCTTTTGCATTTTCTGTGGCATTTCAATCCCTTGCTGCCCCAACAACAAGTAAAGGAAAAAAAAAAACGATAAATGCAAATCCAATGGCCGCCCGCAGCTGAATGCTGTCTGAATGTTTTTCCGTTTTCTCTCATGCACTTCCATACTTCCTAAGTCATCCAGCCGCTAAGCCAGGTAAAGGTACAATGTAGTTTTGAAGATTGGTGGAAAAATAACAGTGAAAAAGCTTGCGCCTCTAATGGCCTTAAGTAACACAGTGAATTTTCACATGCGCCTTAAAGTCGATATTGTCATAGAATGTCGAAAAAGAAGTGGATCTTTATATTCAAAGCCATATTAAACTCAAATTAGTTACAAATGACCCTTAACTTGGCCGATGGCATGTAGTATAAACGCGTGAATGTGTGACTGTATTCTCCAGTCATCTGCAATGTCTCAAGATATTTTCAAATTTCCTATACTAGACGAAAGACAACTTAAAGAAAAACAAAGCGTCAGTGATCACAAAATTATCCCCTGCATAGCTAGCTTGAAAGCCTTTTTTTATTCATTTTCTTTGTTATGCCCTCTAAGAAAGTGTTCTATTGGTGGTTTTCACGTTACGTCATCGCCGCCGCTGCTGGTGGACGGTAAACAAAAGATCGCTCATTAGCTCGCTTTTTTTGTCTACCAGCATTTGTTCATTTCATCATTGTTATTTGTGTCTCCCGAGATTGCATGAAAACCACCTATTGGCAAGTATCAATACTACAATTACTAAATTCAAATTTTGTATCTTGATCGACCACTTTTCCAACATACTATGATGATGTTGATCTTAAGGCAAATGTAAAAATTTGAAGCGTCACCCTAGGTTATTAGAGACAAGCGAAGTTCTCAAGTTTTGGTACTGATCGTTGAAAACTACCTGGCTTTTAGTTTTCCTAGGCGAGATGACACGAGGTGCGGGGAAGCAGAAGAAAAGGGACAATATTCCGAAGGCATCAGCGGCAGTTGACCATTAGATTTACATTTGCCTGGCTGTTTTTTTCTTTTTCGTTAAACTACTAACAGTAAAACGGGCAACGAAAACGTGCAACTTAATTTGCAACATTGCTGTGAAACGATTTGAAGTGCTGTGTTGTTGAGTGCGTTGTGCCACCCATATTCAAACCTGTCTTGCAACAAGTAGTCACGCCATACACGAGAGTTACGTCACTGGTCGCCAGTAAAACTCGCAACTTGCAGATTTTCTTGCAAAAAGTAGAACTGCGCTTTAATTTCTGCAGCAACTTTACACAACCTGCAACAACCTTATTGCTGCAATACAGGTTGATTTGTGGGTGGTAAAACGCGTAACATAGCTATTCAACTCTTTTTGCTGCAATGTCGCAAAACAATTTTTACGGTTTTGTTTCTCATTTTACCATTCCTTTAGGGCCGCCAGCAGCTCAACGCAACACGCAATAGACCACACTAAGAGTATAATGTCCCATTCATACCAAGGCTTAAACGTGTTTTAACGCTGTTGTGTTTAGTTAAACAGGGTTTAATTTTCTTGGTCTGATTGTCAGCTGTCTGTGTCAGTTTATTTTTACTGCCAGAAAAAAATAAAGTCATTCAATACGTTGCATACATGAAAAAAGTATTGGTTGAAGGTTAAAGGTGATGTAAATTACATAAGTTAAAGAATTAAAAAATTTTTTCTGGCAAGGAATCTGAAATTGAAACTGGGGGGCTTATTTCATGTTCAAATATAAGTCAGGATAAAAAGCAAACAAAACAAAACCCGCCAGACGGAAACATGCAGCAAACTATAATAAATTTCTGACAGTCTTTGGTTAGAGGACCAAACCTCCATTGTGGTTTTTCTTTGATCTTTTTCACCAGCACTTCATATATTGAACCACATTTACCCCTCTAGCAACCCTCACCCCTCCTATGACTATTTAGCATTTTCCTCTTCAAGACAGACTGTTTTTGAAAAAAAACAGCCTCTTGCTAATTGGAGATCACAGTAGAGAATTAAATTGCACTTAATGTACATAATGAATGATTGTGCTTCAGGTGACGGAAGGTTGTCCTTCTTTGTCAAGACTTGATATTGGCTACTGCTACAGAATTTTAAACAAAGGCACCTCATTTGTTGGAGCAAGTGCTTTTCCCAAAACCTTGACAGAATTAACATTACACGGAGTGCAGATGTCTGAAGACTTACTCATTGAAGTGCTGAATCAGCTACCTTATGTCAAAGTTTTGACGCTGTGCGGCCTGAGGTCTGTAGATGATGATACATTAAATCAAGTGAGTCCATCTATCTCACCTTAAGTTTATAATTATTTACTATGGTGTACTCTTGTGCGTCATTAAAATTTCCCTTATTGTTTTTGTACGTACTTAGTCTGAATATATCAGCTTAAAACCTCTAGGTTGTTGTTTGGACCAAGAACTTTAAGGGTCTTTATGTGCAATTCTTATGATATAACCATTTTATGAATCACAAATGCAAAGTAGGATATTAATGGTGGCTGCGTTATGATACAGGTGCATTGAGCTATTTGTCTTAACGTTTTTTGGTGTTAACGTGATGGCTACAAAAATTTAGAAAAAAATATCATGCAGCAATAGTAAATAATCCTATTTCACTGGTGATGAACCTTTTTTACGAAATTAGCGCTTAAGTGGACCGTACTGTTCAAAGGAAATCGCGTGTAGTAAAAAATTTGGCAGATTTTTTTTTACTGAAATTTATTATCGGCTGTTATTGCTATAATACGTTTGCCATGCAAATTTCACCGAAATCTTTGGAGCAGAAGTCCATAGCCAGTAAGACAGTCGAAATTCAACTTTGAAATCGTTTTGAAATTTAAAAAAGGAATTGCTCTGAGGAAGCTGAACGAGCCACCAGTTCCATTTTTTAGGACAAGTAATTCAAATCTTTGACAATTCTTAAGAAAAAGGTGATTGCCTATCGTGCTATTTTTGGAGAGGTACTTTTTAGTTATGGAAGCACTGTAAATTGCTCCAAACCTTGCTCTGAAGTTGAATGACTTGTTCCTCGAATGATTCCTTGTTCTTGGAATATTCCTCAGCGGTTTTTGCTGAAACTCCTGCTACATACATTTTACAGTATTACTATGCATTTTCATCGGCTTTAGTGCGTCTAAAACTGAAGAGTACTTTTTAAAGAATAGCCTGATTGGTAATAAGCTGTGTTTTAAGAATAAGCAAACGTTAGAATTACTTCCCGAAATTTCGGACTGGTAGAAAGCAGTCAAAACAAATCTTAAATGAATAAAGAATAAGCAAACAGTAGAATTAGTTCCCGAAATTTCGAACAGGTAAAAAGCACTCAAACCAAATCTTAAGAGCAAATGTCTGTAAAAATCGAGCAAAATCGAAACTTCGCGACCAAAGTCAAAAAATCGTTTTCGCTCATATCTTGTCCCTAGTTAGGTATTAGTAACTAACTAAACGTGGTGTAGTTTGTTTTTCAAAAGGCCTCCTCGATTTGGAGAAAATCGACAAAATCAGTTTTCGTAGTCGACAACTTGAAACAACCAAAATTTGACGTAAAATCAGGCGTTCTCAAAACTTCCTTCGCACGCAAACAAGAAGAAAGCGGGGTAAAATATTCCGCGATAAATCAATTTATAAAGGGTTCTACTTCTTGTTTGGAAGATAAACAATTTTATTTTAGTTTGGATTCTTTTTCAACTAAACGAAATTTAAATTTAGGCTGAAAATTGCGTTTTATATTTTAGGCATGCGCTATACCTTGGTTTTAGCTGAAACTCATGTTATTTCAACATTGGGCTAAAGCATACGCACGAATTGGCCTAGGTACCGTATTTATTCGAATAAGCGCCCAACCTCGAATTAGCACCCACCTCGAATAAGCGCCCATCCTAAAGGAAGAAAAAGTTAATAAGCGCCCAGCCTCGAATAAGCGCCCACCCCCTCCTCCTCCCAATCAAACTCAAATAAGCACTCACCCCAATCCCCACCCACTTGAGGGAATAAATTTTAATAAGAGACTTTCCCGAGGACGGAGTTTCCTTCAGATGTATTTTACAGAAACCTTGCTTTGTTACTTCCTCGCGATTTGTTATTAGCATTTATTGTTTTGTTGCAAAATAAACATACTTCAGTTGCTGAAAATGGTGAAAATTTCATAAGCGCCCAGCCTCGAATAAGCGCCCCCTCTCAAGGTCCAAAAATTTAATAAGCGCCCAGGGCGGTTAATCGAATAAATACTAAATTTGTACGTCACACGAACCTTCTGACGTTGAATAGATTTTACTTGAAATATGAGACTTTTCAAGAACGTCGGATGGTTGTTGCTCGACAGGTCACGATAGCTGGGCTCTCCAAAAGATACTTAACTCACAATTGCACTTGTATTAAAGAAATTTGTGCTGGAACTTTTTGTTACCTCAATGAGTTTCTCGTTCTGGTTAACTGTTATCTTGTTTTCTGCTGGTTTGCGCCGTGTTCCCAAGCTAATCAACCGATGATCCAAAAATTCCAGGAAACGTGGTGCGTGAAATTAAGCTCATACAGAACATTTCATGGTATTACTGACCTTTCTTTTCGATCAAACTTTACCTACATTGCCATTTCAAAATTCTAGGTCTCACAAGAACTGCGATTTTGATAGTGAAACTTTCGGGCTGCCGATACATCTTTGGTCGTAATGCATCTGTCAGTTCAGGCTGCGCCCAGCACCCCCCCCCCCGGGGCTACTCCGGTCAGTCCCGAGGGTGGAGCATTTTTCAAATTTTGTGCTGCCCGGGGTCCGGGCATTTGCCAACCCCGGGGCCATTCCCAAGCTTTCGACACGCACGCGGTTTCCTATCAGAATATAACTACACAGAGGATTTTATTGGGAAAGAAAGCAGGTTGGCTCAACTGTCAAGGAGAGGAAAAAATTGATGAGGGTTGTAAAGGCGTGTTCTTGATTTTATACATGCATTTCTTCACTGCTTATCAAGTCAGAATTACATAGCGAAATCGGGAGCTATCAACGTGAATCAACGTTTTTCGGTTATTGAATCAAATTTCTGTTGATATTATTTGAAAAACATCCTTTCGTATTTATAAAACTATTCATAACATATAACTTTACAGCGCTCTATTAATTTTAATGTCAATAATTTTATATCAGTTCTAAAATTATAAACTGGTCCATGTCGTCGTGGCGTGAAGTCTTTATTAGAATCCAAGCGCTATTACAAAGGAAGACGTTAATTGAAACAAAAAATCACAAATTAAAATGCTTAAAACGGCATTATTCGACTGTGCGATCAATGAAAAATAATGCAGTGTTGACGGCGGACGGGGCATTTGCCCTCTTTTTTCGTCCCCACCCCGGGGGATTTGACAGTTCAAGAGTCCCCACCCCCAGGAATTTGCCAGCCAAGGGAAAAAAAATGCTAATGCCTGGGGTTTAACCGGGGGGGTTGTGGTTGGGCGCAGCTGGAATTGACTGCATAAAAAATCTGGTCAAAAGTGTTGCGTGACAGGATTTGCCGGCCCTCCAATCGAACCATTTGAGCGATGCATCTATCCTGGGACTTTCTTTATTGTCCTTGCCAAAAGTAGCATATCATGCTACTAACAATCCAAATCATGTCTTTTCCCCTAAGTTTTTCTTAGGGAAAAAGTATGCTTTCTAAGTATGCTTCATACAACACTAAATAAGTCCAAAAATATCGTTTTTCACGTCAACTCCCCCCCTTGTCTTGTATTTGCCTTTTATTTACTTTTGGCTTCAATCTCTAGCTATTTCACCGCGTTATATATCAGATCGCAGTCTTTCCTCTCCCATATGCAAGTTCCACAGTTTTCTTTAAGATTCTGCAATTATTTTTCAGTATATTTTTTTCTAATTTGATCATGGTTCGTGAAACTCTTGTTTCTGTTTGTATACAAAGGAACTCCTCCATGCGACCATCCCGTTTATACGACCACCTCTTTATTAATACCATAGTCTTTCGACTCAGACGTGATAATCTCCGAGTCATTTTACTATTTTGAAGACCTCTTAAATGCGACCACCTCGCTATCATGGCCAGGAGTTTATGGCCCAAAGGTTGTCGCATCAACGGGGTTCCACTGTGTTTTTTAATTTCAGTGTTCCACCTTATATTACAAAAACAAAAAGATATGCGTCAGCTGGATTATGGCAATTAATGTAAAGAGCTAAAATTAAGGATCCGCTTATATGAAGAAAATTTGTCTCGAGCAGAAGGGTCAACCGCCTACCCGAGCTACCCTGGATGAGCCAAACTTAAATTACAAAAAGTTGGCTCGGCTAGAAGGATGACCCACCTTATCTAGTCACCCTTTTGTAATGGTAGGGTCAGCCTCCTAGCCGGGCCAACTTTTCTCCATAAACACTTTGCGCGCTTTCCATTCAACAAAAATCCTGTTTGAAATTTCGGAAAATCCACGTGCCCAGTGGAACGTTACATTCCGGTTGCACAGACCAAACCAAAGCCACCGCGAGTTTGGTTATCGTTTGGTTATCGTGGTTGTAAGCAGGATACAGCATCGAAGCTGCCTTTTGACAAACAAACTACACCAAGTTTAGTTAGTTACCGTACCTATCTATAAACACGATATGAGCGAACTCTTTTTTTTTGACCGTGACCGCCGGTTGCTCGATGTTTACAGACATTTATTCTTAAATAAATGACTAAATCAATCAATCAATTATATAAAATAAGATATTATACCAATCTCTTTTTACAATGTTAAGTGGTGTAATTTTCCAAAAAGAAATTCAGGAGTCTCTCTGTAGGCAAAGACCTCAGCTTCCTTGAATGAGATTGCCAAAGTCATCATCATAGATTTGGAAATTTAAGAGAAAGAAACAAGAGTTTTTCAATAATGTGTTTTCTTGTGAGAGAAAGGTCGACAGCAAAGAGAGTCTTGTGTTGGTTGCATGATGCAGAATCAATTCCTTGCAGGGTGACAACTATTGATAGCACGTTCATAAAACCATTTTCTCAAGATTGTTTCAAGAACCGTTCTGATTGTTACTTGTACTAATTCTGCATACTTCCTACAGTTTTGTTTTGACAGTACAAGTTGTTCTTTAATTTGTACAGATTTGTTTGGCTGTAGGCCGGACCTTGACGTCTTTGGATCTGAGTGGTTGTACAGTCTTAACAGATGCAGGTCTTTCGGCCATCAGCAAACATTGTCAAGTCATTGAATCTCTTAAAGTTTCTTTCTGCCCAAACATTACTGGCCAAAAACTGAAACCATTGTTCAATTGCCCCAAAAGAGGTCCAGATATTAAAACATTTGTGGCTAATGGATGTAAAATGGTCAGTATGTTATTATTTTCTCTTTGACTAAAATGTTCATTTAAATATTATTATGATAATTATAATCATCGATAATTGAAATTTGTGTTGTAAAACCCCGTTACAGTATGCCAAAGGGACATGTGCTATCTACAGTGTCTGTATTATCTGGGTGACTGTATTGAGCAGGCCATCACTGTAAATGTCATAGCCACATGCTTCATTGATAATGTCATAAATAATTTCAAAGCAGCTCAATTGAACAAACCTTTACATTTGACTAATAAGTTATAGCTGTTTTGGGGTGAAATTGTTTGTTAAGTTGTTCAAACACAGCAGTGAAATCATTTAAAAGTAGCGGTTTGTGACCGTCATTTCAGTTTGCAGTTCAGTCACATAACAGACCATTGTCCTTTTCATGAACTTTAGGATGGAAAAAGAAAACTACCCATTATTATTTGGTGCTTGCAAAGGGAGGCTTTTTTGATAAAATAATGGTTGCAATCAGAGTCATGCAAGTTTAGTATCAGTAGAGTCTACCATTTTAATGACACCTTAACCTAACAGGCCTCTTTTGAGCTGCATAACAGAATATTAACCTAATGATGTAAGGAAATTGAAATACCCCTAATCAGCTCCAGTTCAGGGAGGTAAATTAATTTACTTATTACGGACGACTAGAGGAGCCAGCAATCCTAATCTCTAGGTTGCTATTACGCATGCTTGGCAAGCATGTGGCTTTTTTTAAGCTTCGTTTGGACTTCCACTAAGATTAAATGGAATGTACAGAACACAATATTATCACGCGCGTTTGGATTATCTATCACGTGAAACTTACGCAAAGCACAGCGTTGGAGAAAAAGCATTTGAACCTTGGATGGTTGTCGCCCGCACTCCGTAACCTTTGGTTATTATCAGTTCAGTATTTATTTATTGTTGCATGTGTGTTCTGCAGTTTTCAGTTGAAGTTGTAGCTGAAATAGCAGCCTGTTGTCCTTCTTTGCATAATCTAAGGCTAGCTGGAATGAAGGACGTCGATGATCAGTTATTAACAGCAGTCGCTGAAAACTGCCATCATCTTGCTTCTATAAACATTAAAGGTTGTGGCCAGGTATGAATATTAAACATATCATTGTTTATTTATTAATGCTTTCAAAGATCTTTGGGAGCGTCAATTATATAACATAGGAACAAGGGAATAGCCCAGGTTTCACATATCAAGACATGACTTCAAGGCTTTGTGGTAATTCTTATTATGGTTTATGGTTTTCTTTGTGTTCAATTCCAATCTGGGAATTACAAGTCAATGAAATCGTGGCAAATTTTCAATTTTTGTTAGTGAAGCCACAGTCATACTAGAATTTTGTTATAATTAGTAACAAACTAACAGGACCTCCTGACCCTCCTCACCTTCCCAGGCAAGTAAAGCTTTAAAGAGAAGTCTTTTTTGAGTAGCAGTTGGGATCTGGTGACACACTTTTGATTAATAGACACAAGTGGATGAATTAATTTCCCATAAGCTGCATAGCTTTTAAAATCATCGTGCTTGAATAAGGGCTGTCTGTTTGTCTGTCTGTTGTTTTTCACAGTTGATTTTTGAATCCACAAATCATTTCTTTCTGCGAAAACTTTTTAGAACTGGTACTTGTCCATTTCTAGTCACTTTCTTACTATTATATGCCATTACAGTGAAACCTCTCTTCAGGGGATACCCTCAGGACCAAAACAAGTGTCCTCTGAATGGAGGTTGGGCTGAGGTTTGTTAATAATTAACCAACAAATACACATTATTACTGGAGCCTAAAATGGTGACCGCTCTCGCTCTCGCTATACATAAATGATCTTCCTAATTGCCTGTCTAATTCAGTTGCACGTATGTATGCCGACGATACTCACCTGACCTTTGCCAGTAACAACATAGAAACGATCAATGATGTTATGAATCACGACCTATCCAATGTTAATACATGGCTCACTGCAAACAAATTGACTCTCAATTCATCTAAAACTGAGTTCGTGTTAATTGGATCGCGGCAAAGGTTAGGTACTTACGATACTTCCCCTAAACTAATCATAGGTGGTGACATAATTAAACAAGTTAGCTCGGTTAAATCTCTGGGTGTGCATATAGACGAAAACCTTTCATGGAATATGCACATTGAAAAAATAGCCAAGAAAATCGCATCGGGCATTGGAGCAATTAAACGTTGTAGGCCTTTTGTTAATCGAACCACGCTGGAGTCCGTTTTCAATGCCTTAGTTCAACCGTACTTTAATTACTGCAGCGAGGTCTGGGGGCATTGTAACAAAAGTCTTTCGAATAAGCTCCAAACGTGGCAAAACCGGGCTGCCCGTATTCTAACCTTCTCCAGTTATGACACAAGCGCTGATCCTCTTCTTGAGCAACTCAACTGGAAACGGTTGGATACTCAGCGACAAATACAAGTGGCCACCATGGTCTATAAATCTATACATGGTCTTGCGCCCGACTATCTTGGTTCTCTTTTCACTAAATATAATCCACCTTATAATTTAAGGAACTCTGAAAACAAACTAGCTGTTCCATTGCCCCGCACCAATTTCTTGAAAATTAGCTTTAGCTATAATGGTGCGGTTATCTGGAACAGCTTGTCCCCTGAATTGCGGCAAGCAAAATCACTTAAATCTTTTCGAAATGGTTGTCGCGATTTCTTTGACTGAATCGATAAAACGCACACGGCATCTATGTAAAGCAGAATTTCTTTATTTTCTCTATTTTTACTATTTAAATTTTTAGATCATGTTTATATAGATTAAAGTAGATTGTAATTTTTATTATTATTATTATTATTTTATTTGATAGATTTACCGTGTTTAAATAAAAATAAAGTTCATGTTAAAGTTCTATAGAATGCGCTGCAGTCATTATTTCAAGCAGCTCGATAATGTACAAAAAATCATGATTAACTTATCTTTGTGATGTGTGTCGAATTCTCACAAATGTAGTACATTCATTGAAGTGAGTTTATTCATGTTTTGAAAGCTGTCGCCATTGTGACTAGTGAACACTTAAACTTGTTGACCATTTTTGTGGTCAGTCACTTCTGAAGTACTTTTGGTTTCTAAGGTGTTCCCTGAATGGAGATAAAACCCAGGTTTCGGGACCCAGAAAAAGTGTCCCTTTCCTCTGAATAGAGGTGTCCTCTCAACAGAGGTAACAAATACAAAGATTATGGGGACATTTTTCTGGGACTAAATCTTGTGTCTCCTGAATGGAGGCGTCCCAAAGGAAAGGTTCCACTCTATTGTATTAAGCTGTCCCATTTTAATTGCAATAAATGTAATGTTAACTGAATTACAATAATGACAGTAATACTTGGTTTAAGCCGACGGGCTATATTTGATGTATTATGTACTTTTAACAGGTAACAGACGTGGGAGTTTGTGAGTTAGCACGGTTGTGTCCGTTAGAGGAAGTTGTGGTGTCTGGTGTGTCAAGTCTTACAGATCGCTCTGTTTTCGCACTTGCTAATTGTTGTACTTCAACACTGAAAGAACTCTGGGTGTCAGGGTGTTCAATGATAACACCACCTGCTATCAATTATCTCAAGGTATGTAAGCTCTATGGTATTTCAAAATTTATAAATATTATTCATTAAATATATTTTGCCGATTATGATTAGTTTTAATCCCCGGCTAATGTTACGATGGCTTATTGTTATATATATATATATATGTTGTAGTTAAATTTTTAATCCAGGTAATTTTTGTTTTTCTTTTGTTTTTTGGTAAGGTAATGTATGCTAATGAAGTTGAAACAAAGGAAAAATAAAAATTACTGTTTTTTACACTGATATATATATATATATATATATTTTTATATAAATATATATTTGTAAAAAAAACGGTCCTTTTTTTACACTAAATGTTGCTTTTTTTAAAAAAATATTTTGTGTTCATATTAAATGTTGTTTAGCCTTTTCATATTAAAGTTGTTTAGTTTTGTTTTCGGGCTTATTTCTCGATCTCTAAAATAAAACACGCATTGCCGTACGTTACAGACCGCCTTTATAGTCCCTAATTGTTATAAACAAATCGGCTGCTGTTTTTATGGCCTTATAAAGTTATTCTGTGTATTGCAAAAATTAGACTAACAAGCGAGTGTATGTACGCTTGTAGCTATAGGCTAGCGTTTCCTTTTGCTTGATTAGCCGACTGAACATGTTCCTACATCATGTTGAAAGCTTAAAGTTGTAACGCAGACATGACAATCTTGCATGCATCAACATGGATTTCAACATAGCATGAATCCCGTGATAGAAGATTAGCGCATCATACATAATACAGGAAATTGCCTAACAATTGCTGTCGTTGATTCTTGCTGGAGATTTTATGCTAGAAATGGAGTTATAATTTATTTATCCACTGCTAAGAGCACCAAAGCATTATAGCCAAGTATTTTGTTGACAGTTAAACCGATTATTGCAGCTGATAACCTTGGGAAAATAGATAAATAATACAGAACAATATTCTGTACAGTTTTCGGCTTGAACAAGTAGCAATGAAGGAGAGAATAGAAGTCTTTGGTTGCTGCAAGAGATTGTGACAGGCATTGCTTATAAATAAGACAGTGAATAACCCAGCTATTCTATTATTGCCTAACATGCAGTTACTGCCGTGCGTGACCTCAGCCGATAAGCATAACAAATGAAATTACTGCCTGTTCCTTCTTCGCATCCAACAATTAGAAGGTCCTGGAAAATTGAATGACAAAGGAAACAAGAAGAAAGAATAAAAAGAATAAAAAGAACGTAAATTTTTAACGCTGTCAGCGAGTTAACAAGGGAATTTAAATGCCCCACAATAAAGGGGACACGGGAACGTGAACGTGACTAGCGGCACGAAAACTACAGTTCAATAAATTTCGAACCATGCTATGGAAAACAGCCTGTCTTCGATAAATGAGTTTGTCAAATGGTCTATACGTGTAAAATAGCAGGATTTTTACATAAAAAAGGCAGCTTTCTTACAAAAATACCTTTTGTAACAAAACAGATTTTTTACATAAAAAAGCAGCTTTTTTACAAAAATATATTTTGTAAAAAAGCAGCTTTTTACATAAAAAAGCTGCTTTTTTACAAAAATATATTTTTGTAAAAAAGCAGTATTTTTACGACCAAGTAACTTGTAAAAAAGCAGCTTTTTTACGTAAAAAAGCAGTATTTTTACAAGCGGCTAATTTGTAAAAAAGCAGCTTTTTTACATAAAAAAGCTGCTTTTTTACAAAAATATATTTTTGTAAAAAAGCAGTATTTTTACAACCGCTCAATTTGTAAAAAAGCAGCTTTTTTACATAAAAATGACGCTTTTTTACAAGGACCGTTTTTTTATGCAACATATATATATATATATATATATAATGGTGACCTCGTTTCCAAGTAGCGACGCCGTAGCCTAGCTGTTTATTTACTCTCACTGCAGAGGCCCCTGCTTGGTTTTCCAATAAAAATAGCAGTGCAAAGAAACAAGTAAAGAATAACGCGGATAAGAGCAAACGACGTTTCGGTGTCATCTTGACGTCACTTTCAAGTTCAAAATGATTGATGATAAACTGACCAAAACAATTTTGGCTGATGATCAGCATATATGTAATATACAAAGTCACGCAAAAAGTTTTTCTCAAATTCAGTCCCATTGGACATTTAGAGAAGGTGTTAGTTCCCTAATTAGCAACATTTCGTGCACTTAACAATCGAACTTGTTTTTGCACTTCTTAAGGACAGAGAGCTGTTCGTCAAGATCTTTCGGGACCGTAGAGTGTTTATCCCTATAATGTTTGCCAATGGAGGAAGACATTTTTGTGTTCATCCGCGCGCTGATGCCTCAGTGTATAACCTACATAACTTGCATTACACAAGTCACATTGAAATTGCTTAAACTACACACTGTTGGTTAACAGTAGGCGGTTTTTTCTCATGAACGTTAAGGACTTCCTGGATCTTGTTGCCAACGAAAACTGGTCGAACGACCGTGTGAATCTTCTGGCTTAGTTCTCTAAGCTGTTTGCGAACTAAATTTGCTGAAGCTTGGTCTTTAAAGGACAGGACTATACGAACTGGAGGGCTATCTGCAGGGGTAGGTTTCGGTGGTTTGTCTTCCGCCTTGAAGCAGCAGTTTCCCTGATGGTACTAGTGATGAGACGTTGCGGACATTTAAGCCGGGAGAAGATTCGTCTCAATCGATCTCATTCATCCGAAAAATATAACCAGCAAGATGATAAGCGATACGCACGATCAAGCATGGTTTTCAACAGCCCACGTTTATAGCGCATATCAACATGGCTGTGGTAGTGGAGCAAAAGACCCCTGTTGGTAGGTCTGACGTAAACTTTGGTCTCGATTTGTGGGGCTCTGTTCAAGAGTTGCATTCCGAGAAAAGGAAGCACGTCATTGTTTTCTGTTTCCATAATGAAATCTACTTAAGGGTGGCAGTTGTTAAGGACCTTAAGAAAAGAAGCCGCTGATGTTGTGTCCGGCATAATGGTTAACGTATCATCGACGTATCTCTTGTTGAATGAAGGCATTTTGCCTTCACTTTCCAGAGTTTCTTCAATGGGTGCCATAAAAACATTGGCGAGCAGTGGCCCATGGTGACTGTGTCGACCTGTTCGTCCATCGAACTGAATCAGTTGGTCTTTGGTCGCTGCTTTTAGAAGATTAACAAGGTCCACTTTGCTGAAGTTGAAATGGTGTGTTTCATTAAAACAATTGTTGTTAAAGGCTTTGTCAGCTAGTATCTGGATGGGTTCATCTAGGGGCACGTTGTTTAATAATGAGGTAACATCGTACGACACAAGAATATCACCGTTTTGATTTTTAGTTCGCGAATTTCGTTCGCAAACTCAAAGGTGTCAGGTATTGTGTGCTGGTCGTATGACAACGGCTTTTACTTCTTGTCCATCAGCTGTTAGCCGAAAATTTGGGTTTATGGCTCACTCGAGGGGAACAGCTGAAACATGTCACATCGTAATCTTTGGCTATTAAGCAACACAAAAATGCATGATTGCAAGAATAAAGCGGTAGCTTTCACTCTGAAAATCGAAATTTAAATTTGGCCCTCATAATCTCCTTTTGGCCGCCATCTTGGCTTTCGGGGAAAGCTACGAAGTTGCTTATATTCTTTTAACGTTAACAAATCGCGTTTTAAACTTAAATATAAAACATATTGGAGCTCAAAAAATGACTTCCGTTTGTTCTAGTGCTTAAATGAAAACGACACTGCCTTTCAGTATTGGTCACAATAATACCGGCAGTTTGCACTTAATATTATCACTGGAAAAAATTGGGAGGTTTGCATAATTGTTTCAGAAAAGAGAGTAAGTAGACAAAATTAATGTATATATTTGTAGTGTGTTAAACAGAGTCCTCCTCGAAGATAACAAAACGTACATGGTCTCAAGGCATTAGTCGGAGCTTTTCGCTGTGGGTGCGAAAGTCGTTCTCTGCACGATGATGGCGGAAGAATGCATTATGTTTGGTTTTTCTAATTCAACGTTATCCTAATACAGAGATATTTCTTGTTAGACAACCTTATATCGTGCTTTCGTGAACCAGAATCAGTTTCAGCTGAATGTGAATTCCCCGTACATCCCATCAAATATCGATGCAATTGCCGAATCGAGTTCACCACTGGAACAATGGAAGAGACTTAGATTTGTAACTCCGGAGTCGCTATACTTGTCCACACAGAAGTAAGTGATGACTGACTGCAGGCCACGAACAAGTGAAAGCAGCCATGGAATGACATTGTAACGGGACGTTGCTCATCCAGTCCCACTCAACATGAATTTTACCTAGTGAAGAAGGCTAAGCTGAAGGCTGTGCGTAAGGTTCGCAACAAGGATCGTGTGCTACCTTTCCGTATGGATCACGATTTTTTTTGCTCGGATGGCACTTCTCGGACAGTTTCATCATATTGAAATTAAAGTTGCTTACACATTGAATACAACTTTAATGGTCCTTGAGCTCTTCCTTGATCTCTTACTGATCTTAAAGGACTCACGCGAAAGGCAAACAAAGCCAGACTCTCTCAACAGCGTGAGCGGCGCCTCTCAGCCTCCTCGAAATACTTAGAGAACTTAGCCCGTAATTCCGATCAAAGAGGTGGCAGTCTTGCAGAGGTTTACGTTTTTCTCTTGAGCTACTTTCGGTAAGGTTGCTGAGAGAGTTTGAGATGGTCAGGAGCACCAGCAGCAGGCGCGTAGGTAGTGTTCGCCGTGTATCGCGATGTGTTGATAAAAAATTTCCAAAGACTGTAAATAATGTCCAACTCTGTCAGTGTTCTGAATGTCTAAAACAGGCTTTGAATAGTGCTACGTGAAAAAGGGCAGAGGCACGAAAACCAGAAGATCAAAAATGTCTATGCAACTCGGGCAAGCTGGCATTTTCATCCCGTGCATCATAAGGGCCCTTATCGGCGTAAACTCTCAGCGATCACAGGCTGTGATGACATCTCTGCGTTCTTTGGTAAAGGGAAGTGGAAAGCAGAACCGCTTCCCCAGCACAATGAAGGGTGCGTCCGAGCTATGATGAGTATCGGGGAGGAGTGATGAGCATCCGAGGAGTCCTTGCAATTAAAGATACGGAAGCACTCGTGCAGTGTGGCAACTATACTAAAAGAAGTGTCACAGTGTGGATGTGCTGAATATGAGATCCACCACGGTAGACTGGCAGGAAAGTCAAACTAGAGACTCTGCCCCCATGCGAGTCATCTTTACGAGATCACAAAAGCAATTATCAAGCCGCAATATGAAGAGCCATTTTGCCGCTCCCCTCATTGACAATTTGACACTTTTATGCAGCTCTGACGTCGCGCCGTGTGTGCGGCTTGCACCTAAGCCGGCTCCTGAAGAAAAGTACTGTCCTGTGCGTACAAGAAAGTATAAACAATAATCATTTGTACTCAAAGAATGTGAAGTATTGATACAGATGGGGGTAGAACAGAAAGATAGTTTTTACTTTTGTCATCTTTTTTGTTGTCTTTTTTCAGGTTTGATAGTATTTAGATCCCTCTTGACAAGACACGTTACGTTATGTACGTTCTAAAACGCTTTCAGAATGACTCCTGCCGAGAAACCTTTTTTTTCACATTATGATGTTCGAGACGCAAATGCGGTACATGTAAATATGTTTTCATGTAGAATTTTCCAATGATGATGAAAGGCAAATTAAGTTATGTGATCAACCCGTCAAAGTCACGCAGTGTTCGGCCAAGTACAACTGAGAAGGACTCTTCCCGCAAGACAGAACTTGTCATTCATAGATCCACATTTCTTGAGCAGCTTTTTGACATTCTTCACGGCAGCCTTAGCCTCACCATTTGACTTGAATTGGGGGCCACCATCAGAGACGGCTTCTATAGGGTTGCCGAAGCAAGAGAATGCGTCCTTCACTTCTCTGATAATTAGTGAGGCCTTAGAGTTTGTCTTTAGAGCACGGACTTCAGTGGAAAGTGAAAAATAGTCGGTGATAATGAGGTATTTATGTCCATTAAGATTGCAAAGGTCAATACCCAGCTTCTCTCAAGGTCTCGTTGGCAACGGCGGCCGTAGAAGCGGTTTGTTGCAATTTCCTGGAAGAAAAGCCAGGTATTGGTGGCAGCGTTTGACCATGTCCTCAATTTCCCGATCAACACCAAGTCAAAACACGGCGAGTCTTGTCGATGCCCTGATGTTCTTCATGTAGCGTCAAGAGTATCTTCTTCTTGAGAGGCGATGGGATGACGGTGCGGCCATTCATTGAGGAGAGGGAATAACCAGGGACTGGAGTAATGTGGTAAAGTTGATGACGGATGGACCAGAAAGGTTTAGCAAGGGTGTCTACTTCTTGCAGTGAATCAGGCCATCCACGCACAGCGGATGTCCTTTGTAACTCGAGAAAGCCTGAGGGTCGGTCTGCCGGGCCTTGGAAATTTCATGTAGTTTCAGGTCATCGGTTGACTTAAGTGTAGGCGCACAGCAGCTTCAGTATGAGCTTCACATATTCATCATCGAGTGACGGCTTGTCCACAGGAAAGCGAGAAAGGGCGTATGCGGCCAAGTGATCTTTTACTTTAACCCATTGTGCAGCAGCATTTTTATAACAAGAACGCGCTTAGAGCCGTCTCACTTGCTTGGAGATTAGATCGAGAAATGAGGAGGCCATTAATTCTACACGAAACAGGATTTACTTGCAAAGGTTTTTTACTTCCTACTTTATCGACGTCGATACTGTTATGTTTATTTGTTTCTGAATTGATTTAGTGCGCGTGTTAGCGACGACCGGCAATACGTCTGCGGTCGTAGGCTATACGCGCGTATAAATACATGAAAATTCAAGGGCCTCGATCCTAGAGGAATTGCATCATTGCCAGAGATCAAAAAAGTGATTTACATGACACGTCATTTCAATCATCGCCGAAAATAAATCGCATGGTCATCACAAGACTCATTTGCATACAGTGAAAGTTTACAACACCCGACCATCGCAGTTTTGTTAATTAAGATTCTTTTTTTTTTTCGGTAGTGTTCACTTGGTCCAAAGTAATCAACGCTCTCAAGCGAAAGAATTCGTGGACCGACACGTTTCAGAAAAGATTTAAATTTAATCCTTCCTAAGCTTTCTTAGCAAAACATGCGTGGCTTCGATCACGCAACGATTCTTAGTTCCAGTTGCCCCGGTCTCTGCTAGGAACCCCTGGCACAATTACCCCTGCACAGCATTTTCAAGGGTAAGATCTTTCATACACAAAGAGCTGTTCCGAAGATCATTGGATCTTATGCCAGCTACTAATCTGGAAAGCAGAACACGTTCCTTACATGACATTCGAGTTGCAGTCTTCCAACAGTCCTCGTAATGGCATTTATTCAAAAGGGACTACAAATCAGTGAAAAATTCTCGTAATATTCGTGAACAAAGATACTTGTGCTTCCGCATACCTGGGTCTGGAAAGCCTCGGTGATAGCGATAACATCATGGATACTAACAGGTTCATTTGTTTCAGTGTCATTATTAAGAACGTTTGTAAATAGATTTTGTTGGGTTTCGGTAGAGTTCCGTCGTTGCTTCCAAATTTGGAATCCGTCGGAGAAGAGGTATCGATATCCAATCGACGGACTCGTGCAGTTTCAGAAGTAGGTTTAGGACTCAGTTTGGACGGCGTATCATGTCTTTTAAGCAGATGGCGAAAAGAAAAAAAGCGAAATTTACACGGTACTGTATTTATCCCGTCGACTACGCAATGTTTGTTTCACATCCCATGTGGTTCCTAGCTCGTGCCCGGACCCTTAGCAGGCGACACCACAGCAAAGGTTTATGAAGGAACGCTATTTGTTTCAAGTGAAGAAGAAGTAAAAACAAAATGTAATTAAAAGTCTGACGTGAAGTCTGTGTTCGTGAAAACATTTTAACCTTCTAGTTTCATTCATAGTGTTACGAAGAGCCTCAAGAATATTTTAAATTTGGCCTAAATTATTGAACTGCACAAATATTTATCTACAAAGTGTAAACGAATCGACGGCTGGTGAGAAGAATACATCCCTATATTCCGAGGGTTTTATGCGGCAGAACCGGGTTTTCGGGGTCTTGTCGTCATTTGTACTTTTCTTTTACAAAATAAACACTGGTTCACTCGAACAGGAAAGCACTCTGTCTTGCAATACAACATTGACAAAACGCTGTTCGAGTACCAATTGATCAACTGATTTACGGTCGTTTGATTTTTTTCCCCAAAATATGCTCGAGGTCGAGAGATCATCGTTCATCGCTTCACAGATAGTAGCTCACAATTCCAATTATTTTTTTGAGATTTATTTCCACATTTGCAAAAAAAATGGCCCGATTTCTAGTTAGAAATACCGTAACCTTCCTCCAAATTGAAAATCATACCTAGAATGCGTGTTTATCGCTTCCTCGAAATTTGGTTAGTCTGATCCGAAAATTCACAGTCTCAAAATCTGTTGCAACAAAGAAACACAATTCGCAAAAATTTCTTACCATTGACCAGCAGCCGATCAGATCACTCTGTCCTGACCTGCGAACCAGGATGGTGAAACCTCTATTCAGGGGACACCGTCGGGACCAAGGCAAATGTCCCCAAATAGAGGTGTCCTCTGAATAAAGGTTGGACTAGGGATTGTTAATAATTAACAGACAAAGAAAAATCGGAATCTGCCACAGTCCTTCAAGCTATCTCAAGTCATTCTGCTATTTCAAGCAGCTAGATATTGTATAAAGACAAAAATTAACTTACCTCTGCAATATTCTGTGTTGATTTCCCACGAGTACAGCACATAGATTTAAGTGAGATAGTTCATGTTGTGGAAGCTGTCATTGACTAGTCTACACTTAAACTTATCAACCCTTTTTGTAGACAGTCCCGTTAAATAAGCTAAAGTGTCCCCTGAATCGGGGGTGAAGCCCGGGAAAGGTGTCCCTTTTCCTTGAGTAGAGGTGTCTCTTTAATAGAGGTAACAGATACAAGGATTATGTAAACATTTTTCCGCGACCCAATTTTCGTCCCCTGAATTGAGGTGTCCCTGCAGTAGAGGTGTCCTAAAGGAGAGATTCCAATCTAAAAGTTGTCTACAATGAACCAGCTGCCAGAAGGGGATTATTTGATAATTATGTTGTTTGTCCATTCTCTTCAGGACTGCTCCTTGAAACGAATATACGTTGACCACCGCACACCAAATGTTGACCCAGACCAAGTTATGGCAAAGAATCTGGATACAGGAGAGTTTTGTAGAGCTGATCTTTTGGTGTCAGGTCCTGTTGTACAGGATCCAGACTGGTTGGAATGACATTTCTAGCCTTCGTTGTACATTTTCACCATCTCATCACGTATTCTGTCACTCTAAGGTCCTAGCTGTAGATGGAAGGAGTGTCACCCTTGTGGAAGGATAACCCTGCTGGTATTATCGATCTCAGTTTCGTTTACATAAGTGGTACCCTGGGTACCCTTTAGTAAGGGTTACCCCGTATCCTTGTCAGGTTACTAGTAGGGTCGACATTTTGGCAGCAAAGTCAACTTTACTGAGACCAACTCACCGTTGAATTGGCACTAAAATATAAACATACTAAACGCTCTTACCATTATTATACGAAAGCAAGAACCCACAGCCTGTACTAAAAAGTCTCAGCAAAAGGCGTAAGCGCCAGCAAATTTGCGCGTAGGACGGAAAAAGCAAGTACGTAGACATGATAAGGTAACCCTCGTGTTATTGTTTCCATGTTAAGGGGAGGGGTTTATCCTTTGACCCCTGTTGAAGTGTAACCCTTGCAAGAGGTTGCCGCACTCCTTTTTTTGTAAACTGGGCTTAAACTTGGGATAGCTTTAGGTACCGGGCAAATGAGCCAAAAAAATAATTGTTGCGTTGCGAATTGACTGTCAGGGTTTTTAAACCTAAATAACGCCTTTAGGATCGTTTAGACTATGAGGAGTCAAAACTTAAAAAGCGTAGTTATGAGAGGAGAATGGTTACGAAAGGCGTGTTTCCTAACCAACTTCCTGATAACAAAATCTCGTCTAAGTAACACAAAAATCCTATGTGAGGAACATGTAAAATTGGAAACTTTTCTTGGCTATTTTCAACTCGTATGTATGGTTTAGTGTTCGTGGGGAAGGAAAGCGTGACGAAGCCCTAAGAACGCCTGCGTGGGAGCTGTTTAAATGGAGGTAGGAAGATCCTAGGAAAGATTCTAGAAGGCAGAACAACTTTTCGTTGAGCTTATGTTACTGGTCGGGGCAGGTGGGCGCTATTTTCCCATCACGAACGATCGCAAGACGACGAGACAGGACTAATATGACGGATCGTGCTCTTTTACTTACCCATAATTCCTAGAATGACAATTGTGTCTATGGGGAGGGGGGTGGAGTGGTCCTATTTCCTTCTTGTCACACACTCCCCCCTGAAAAATATGTCGTCCTCGACATTATAGAACAGATGAGAAAAAAAAAAAATATATATATATATATATATGGAAATATCTCTGAGATTACAGTAACACTAGACAAGTACTCTTAATCCTGCTCAGCTCTGTTGAATAGGGTTGATCAGGCCCTAATCGCGTACTGAGTACATGTTAATGATGACTAGTGTTGGTTACTCCTAAAGCATAGCTACTTTAAAAGACAAACTACTCCGGTTTGTCGCAAGTGTAAGTAAGAAGTCTTAGTCCATCTGCCTGAGAACAAATAAAGTCCTTTTAAACACCAATTGGAAACAGTGTTGAGAGTTTCTAACAGAACCGTATTCAGTGTTTCTAATAGATCCCGTAAGGATACACTCCGACAGGTCCACATAGCAGTGGATAGGTCACTGGTAACACATAGTTCATCCAAGCATCAGGTAATCCTCCTACAGGTCCTGGAACGCAAGGTACAGTCAGAGGTGCCACACCCGCATGGCGGATTGCCGAGCTGGCTGATAATAACTTGGTGTCCCTAAAGTGTCATAGGTAAACAGTGCAGGTGGTCTGCGATCTCTCAGCAGCCGGTCTTTAACCTACTGGCTATGTGATCGCTGGTTCATCTTCTGCTTCTGTTGGTGCTGTTGTTTCTCGCTCATCCAACTGCTAGAGCAGTTCATCATTTTTCACTGGTTCCTCAACCACAGGTCCCCCGATGTGGGGACTGCGGTAAAGGTCAGCATATTCTCAGTCTCTTCATCTGAACTTGTTTCTGAGGCTGGGCTGGGGGTGGACAAAACACATGGTCTGGTACTCTTGCGCTTCTACTTCGGTGGCCTAGCCAGATCATCTGTGTTTTCTTCAAAAGGAAAGTCATTGTACGGAAGCAACAGATTGTGGTGTATCACTCGACACAGTCCTTCACCTGATTCAGGTTCAACTTCGTATACTGGGCTCTCTTCTCCTTTCCGCTTGATTACTCGGTAAGTAAGATCGTAGCTTTCCAGGTTTCACCTCTTTCACGTAAATTTCCCACTAGTACTCTGTCGCTCGGCTGTAGACTGTAGAACAGACCTGTGATCCTTGCGGCCATATTGTCTCTTTCCTTTCATCCCAGATAATCTAGACCTATGTGCTACTAATTCGTAGGCCTCTTTCATGGCTGTTTTTCATTCTCTGACATGAGCTGGATAGTGTGTGCAAGAAGCGGGCTTGATTCCAAACAAAAGATCAATCTTTTGGACCGACGGAAAAACAGGTAATAAGGGGAGAATCCGGTGGCGTCATGACGGGTACACTTATAGGTATGTATAACCTTATTCAGGCTCTCTCTCCACCGACATTTCTGGTGTTCTGGCAAGGTGTGCAACATGGATAGGAGTGTCTGGTTGAGCCGCTTTGTTTTCCCATTCCCTAAGGGGTGGTAGGGTGTTATTCTGGATCGCACCATACCACGGCATTCTTCTAAATGATGGAAAGCTGATTCTCAAATTCACCCCCTTGGTCGTGCAAAATTCTGGCACGGAACCCAAACCTCAGTATAAAGTCATTGCACAACTTGTTAGCTGCTGTCTCTCGGAATTGTTGGAGGTTGCATAGGCCTGGGTGAATCTTGTGAAATAGTCGACAATTACAAGGATATATTCATAACCCCCTCTGCTCTGCTTCAGGTGTGCAAAGTCTAATGACACCAGTTCAAAGGGTGTGCTACCCTGTATAATCTCCATTGGCGCTTTCGGCAGTATATGTGGTCTCTTTTGCTTAATGCATCTGCAAACGTGAGTCACAAAATGTTCGATGTCTCTTTTCATCCCTGGCCAGTAAAATCGTTCTCTGGCTAGATGAAGGACCCTTTCAGTTCTTAAATGTCACATTTCTTCCAGCAATTCTCTGGCGACCATTCGGTGAAACGTCCGCGGTAAGACCAGCTGCAGATCTGGGCCCCTTTTACGTCGGAGAATTCCGTCTTCGCCCACAATGAGCGCGCAAGAGGGGCTGTCCTTCAGGTGATGCCCTGCGCCTTTCTTGCAGTGTTAGTGGCTTGCCTCTCTCCTAATACTGAATGACCTCACTGATTACCTTGTCTCTCCTTTGAGCCTCGTACAGTTCCTTAGGAGTGAGAGGTTGCACCTTTGATTCACCCTCCAAGTTCATAATGTGTCTTATATCACTTAGCTGACTAGAAAGTGACAATAACCAAATTGCATCTCCTTTTTGCTGAGCATCCAACGCTTCCACCGTAGCTTTGATCCAATCCAGTTCTACCTCCTCAGTGCAGATGTCCATATACTCATCCATATGTATCCTAGACAGTCCATCAGCATCCTGGTTGGAGGTACCGTGTCGGTATCTCATAGTGAAATTGAAGTCAGCCAGCTCTGCTACCCACCGATGACCTTTTGCGTTCCGTTTCACTGTAGTTAATACATACGTCAACGGATTATTATCCGTATAGACTGTAAAATGGGGTGTATAGTACAGATAGTCTCTGAATTGGTCTGTTATCGCCCATTTAAGTGCCAGAAATTCGAGTTTACTTGAGTGAAGATGGTAATTTTGTTCAGCTGCTGTAAGTGTGGCCCTCTTGCTGTGGTACAGCGCTGCTCCTAAACCTTGTGCCGACGCATCAGTGTGGAGGACAAATGGATGCGTGTAGTCAAGGTGAGCCATTACCGGAGGATTGGTAATTGTATTGATAAGCTGGTCTACTGCTGCCTGGTGTTCACTTGTCCAGTTGACAGGGTCACAGGATGATACTTGCCTCCTCGTCTTTGATAATTTTGACTTTCCCCTCATACTTTCTGGCCATTTCTTCCCAGTTCCCTACAAGTTTTCAGAGAGGCTTGGCAATCCTTGAGAATTGTTTGATGCTCAACAGTCCTGTCAACGTGCGAACGTCTCCAACAGTTTTTGGGTTAGAGTCTCTTAGTTTGGTGACAACTACAGTGTTCCTGGGATCAATGGTGTGCCCTGAGTGGTTGACAATTCTTCCCAAGAAACATACTTCACGTAGGAAAAGACTACATTTGCTTGGTTTTAGCTTGACTCCATGTTTCCGCAACTGTCTTAATACTGTCCGTAAGTTCTCCACCTGTTTCTCAAACGTTTTGCTGTACACAATGACATCATCCAGATAGGAGATGCGGATCTCATCTGTAATGCCTTCCAAACAACCTTCCATAAACCGCTAGAAATTGGCTGGTAAATTAGTTAATCCCAATGGGATCCGAGTCCACTCATACAGGCCCCATGGCATAATGAATGCAGTCAAGTGCCTACTCTTTTCACCAACAAACCCTTGATGATAAGCTTTACCTTGGTCTAACACTGAGAACCAGGAATTTCCGCCTAAATTCTCAGGTGGTCATATTAAATTCATGCTTTTATTCAAACTAGGCACCGAAAAGACTCGATTTAATTAACAGCATGTATAATAACTTTGATAAAATAATGCTAGATTAAGTGTAATGTACTAACAAATCAATCAGTAAAAATAGAAATAACACCTATTTTTGGAAAAAAATGCAAAGTTTGAAAGAAAAAATGGGAGTCAAAACTCGTTTGCCATCGTAACGTCATTGTCGACATAGACGGCACGACGATTTGAACATGATCTCAGATAAATCTTAGCAGCTGAGTTTGGTGGTCATAGCTTGAACGGTTTTAAGTTATTCAACTTTTTAGGGAGTGGGGGGCTTAACATCCCTCCCCGGTCTGAATAGGGTTGAGGTCGGGGGGGGACAGATACATGTATTTGTGAATCCTAAGGCAAAATTTTTCTTGTGCGAGATCTTTTTATAAAAACCTTTTACATCTCGGCTATTTTAGAGAGAATTTAGATAACATTTTACAGAGACATTGTGGAATGATGGAAATTTAGGTCCTGTTTAGGAGGGTGTTTTTTTATTTGGTAGGTCGCGCTTGACAGAAATCTGCTAAGCCACAATTGTACCAAATTAGGAAGTCGTGATTTTGTGTCCATGTTTTCGGGAAGAATAGACGTCAGCACACTGTGATTTGATTAATAAATGATTAGCCAAAACGTCTAGTGTGTCATGTATAGAGCAGATTTTACAATTTAAAGTTTGTCAGCCAGATATTATCGTTTAAATGAGCGAAATCTGTCATCCCTGAAGTTAACGCCTTATACCTTTTTTTATAACAACGCTCTTTTGGAATTCGGCTTTATACATGATACACTACATTCTACCAACTTTGCCCCACCGCAGTGCCAGCTCATGAAGTTTTGATTCTGCGCTGAATTCTTGGCGGACACAAAATTGTCGGTAAAGTCAAATTTTGATACTCCCGAGGGTGTCCCGAGCTTCACGGCACGAGTTTCAAGCAAGATACACCTAATTGCAAAAACGTTGTCATAGAATAACGATAAAAGGAAAAAGCCAAATAGGAATTTAATGGGCTAATAAGCCTAATTTAATTCGTTTTCATCATCCGTACATGGGCCTCGTATTTGCCTGTTGGAATTTACTATTATTTTAAAGATGAAAACAATAATAAGCGGGAAAATGCAACCGGAAAAATCCAGCGGGAAAATGCAACGGCTGCAAATAAATCCACGTTGAGAATGTGGCTTTATTAGCCTTGGGTATACACATAAGTTAGTCCGCTAATGGGATCAGACGCACCTTGTTGCGGGGGTGGACTATCTGGTATTTGTCTACTAATATCATAGGCGACCAATTACTCCTTAATTTTGGCGCGAAATTTCAGCGATAATTTGTAATTTCACGTGTGAAATTACAAAATTGCCATGGCAACCTTCCGTACGTCCCAGTGTCAAGATGGCGACGAAGTTTTAAAATTTCATGAATAAAGAAGAAAACCTGAACACATGAAAGAGCACGTCAAGAAGTATACTAATAGGTATTTTGTCGAAAAATTGTGAACTTGAGCCAAATTTAAGCTCTAAACGCTAGAGAGAGTAGAGTTATCGATCAATACGATCCAGGATAAACATGTCAAAAATCCAAGATTGCTAACGTAATTCGTCACCCATGATATTAATAGGAAATCAAATGGTATAATCGTCAAATTAGGAAACTTGGATTTTGTACAAATCCTAACAATTTCCCTCGCCTAAAGGCTCGGGAGATTATAAGGATTTTGAAAAAACGCGCGTGAAATTATTCCCTATTTCACTCGTCATCATTTGACTACACATACTAATTAATTCACTTCATAATTTTAATTTAACAACCCCCAAGTCCAATATTTTTCAATTTCTGCAAATTTTTTAACACCCCCCATAATTTTTCTACGTTAAACACATTCGAAAAATCATCCAAGAATTCTCCAAAAATTATTGAACCAAGGACTCCAAACTAATTGAGTCATTTTTCGATTGAATATTGAAATAAACGAAAAACATTGCTTTTAACTAGACTCCCCCCTTAGATAAACATTTTGTTCGCATTTGAGGAAAAAGCGCCTTATAAATGAGGGCGATTTATACTATTACTTATTTCGGATTCCAGAGTTTAGACAAACCCTTTCACAGAGAGTGAATGAACGTGTTGGCCTTTGCACCCAGTGGAAGTTGTGTTGCTTGGAAACCTTAATGCAACTCGACGCCACAATCAATGACGTCACTACGACTACCAACCAAATATACACATATAAAGCCAGTTCGTGTTTCCGCCTCGCTGGGCGGTCCAGACACGTTCCACGGGCGATTATTATTATAAAAAAAAAGTGAAAAAAAAGTGCCCTAAAATGTGTCTACAAATAAACTGGTCCGTAAAAACGCCGTGACAAAGGCCTAGTATGGGAACAGCTCCCTCCGGGTTACGGGCTCCTGGTTGTTTTCGTTTCTCAAACAGCAGTTTCTGCAGAGGGAAAACGTTTCGCTTCATCCAAAGCTAAAACGGACTATCGGGCTGTAGAGCGCACATGCTTTTGGTTTTTCTGGTTTCTGCGCTTCTGTCGCCTTACTGGCGGCCTATTCATAGTTGTAGTGCGCATGGGTTATTCTTCTCCCGAAGGTCCAGGCGTTGAAGAAGAACTCGGCTGAGATGGTTGAGTGGTGTTGCCATTATCATCATCATCATCCCGACGTTCCTCGTTTGGCATAAGAGGATCTCCTTCGTCCATGTTTTAAATTATATATAAAGAAAAAGGTTAGATACAAACGACTCTTCTACCTACGCACAGCGAAAAACCCTCGGTGCAATGAAGGCCGAGCGCACGGTAGAACCCATCACTTTCACCCCCAGTGGGACAAAACCGGGCAAGACGCTTTACGAACACGAGCCCAAGCTAAACCAAAACGAAGACATCGTCATCTCTGACGCTACGTTTCAACATCGATCTGACCGGCGCCCACACAGACGAATTTCTCGTCCAGAACTTTTCGAGGGCGCTGGTGGACAAGAAAATACGCGGGCACCACTCTTCAAGACACATCTGGCTAGGACATCTACAAAATGTACGAGCATGTGCTCTATAACAAGCTGCTGGAAGGGATTCAAACTGAAAAACTTTTTAAGATTCGCTAGAAAGCCGGTGACAAAGCGACAACGAGCGTGGATGCTGATGCAGTTTTTGGCACACACTTCTGCATCCGGCTGGACCACCCTATTCCGGACGATCACGGGGTTTTCTACCCCGGGCCCTCTACAACGACTTTGTTTTCGAACTGACGCTTGCGCCGGCTTTACAGGTTCCGAAAGGTTCAGACGCGTCAAAGCTGGTCTACAAGCAGACAAACATTCAGATGGAGTATGAGACCATCCGCCGAAGTCTCGTTCGCCTTTGACCACATCATGCGAGAAGGAATGGTGACCTTTGACAAGAACAAGGACAGCAGGCTCAACAACGGGGTGATCCCTCAGGTCCGGTCGCTCAAGTATATTCTTCTGCTCTTTATCGAACCCTACATCGCCGGCGCCCGTGATTCGGAAAAATACATTAACCTTAGCATCATCAAAGTGAGCGTCACGGTGAACGGCTCACCCCACAAAAAAATACATTAACGGCATGGAGGCGCAGCATATGTGACAGGAGATCAGCCGGTACTTTCAGCCCAAAGATGTCTCAAGCAAAATGTACCTCACAAGGTTCTACCCAAACAAGTTTGGGTTGTTCATCGACATTCGGTCCATGTTAGACACCACAGTGCACGGAAACGGCGTCCGTCTTGTGAACACCAAAGACGGTGTGTTCCTTGAGATTTACAGAAAGAAATCTGGCTCGAGAAATGTGAATTGCCACGCTCTCACAGTCAGCGATGCTCAGATGAACATCATGGACAAACCGCTCTAGTCTTTGCAACGTTAAAATATAAACGGACCAAAACAACATTCCGTTTAAAACACTGATCGTGGGCCCGACATCCT